ATACACATACTGTTAAAGGAAGCAGCCTGGGTATTGCAATTAATTCTTGTTGTGCTTGATGGGAAAAGAAATCTTAAATCCAACTGGAGAACTCACAGGACTACTTTGCTCCTTAGATTTGCTTTATAGTTGTGCAGAGTCCCACTTGGGAGACATTAGCATCAGTAATAACTGTAGAACTTAGCACTTATTGTGATGTGTGTCATCTGCACCTCTCAGAGAAGCTGGCAGGGCAACTGCAGAATTACACCCCTGGCAGTGAAACTGAACAGGTATGTAGAAAAGCTTGGTCATATGGCCAAGGTGACACAAAAAGTGAAATGATGGGCAAGTGGCTTCAGCTCTCTGACCTTAAAGGCCAGTGTGGGCAAAAGGGGTTATTTACACCCATATTTTGCAAAGTAATTCATTACCAGTAGACTTTGGCATACTGAAGAAATTAGAGTTGAGTGAGCATATTATACAAGTCAATCACATGTATTGTTGGCTTTTGAAAGTCTGAAAACCCACTGTAAGGCTCTTTCACTATGAGTACTGCTGGATAGTCCCCTGTTTCAAGTCAGGTGCCTAACCCAAGGATGTAAAATAAATGTCTTTAACCAGTCCATACAACTGAGGGACACATCAGCAAGGCATTCAGAAAACCTGTGGTTTCTATCTGCCTCTGTAGCCTAACTCAGACAGCTAAATCAGAAAGGGGAAGTCAGACAATGTGAATAGCCTCCAACATATCCAGTTTTATAGTTAATGCCCAGATAGTCATGTAGTAACATGTCCCACTAAAATCTGTGAAAAGTTTGTTTTGTCTGTTATATCCAGTTTTATAGTTAATGCCCAGATCTGCAAAGTCATGTAGTAACATGTCCCACTAAAATCTGTGAAAAGTTTGTTTTGTCTGTGTTTCTGGAGCTGGGCACCCTTTGCCCAAGCATGATTGCCTCTGAGTCTTAAAATGTCACAGTATTAAAGTGAGATTCAGCAAGTGTGACAGCATTATATAATCCATGCAAATAAATCTGAATATTAAAATTACTTCCACTGCCAAGATGACAAGAATTTCACAAATGCAAGATGCAACAGTGGAAATGATTTTTCTGAACTGGGAAGCAAATATTGTTCTCCAAATGTGCGAAGGAAAAATCACCTCAGGACTGCACAGAAGGGTATTTGCTTGTGCCAGCTTTCTGTTTCAGTGGTTGGCTGTCTTTTGGCAACCTGCCATCCAATAATTCATTGCCTGCCCATGGGGCATTTCATCGGGGGAGGGACATATGTTAGTTCAAGAGCAGAGCTGGTATCAGTGCTTGATGCCAGTGACATGGAACAGAGGCTCTCAAAGGGTCTTGCACATCTGTCTAGTCAGCCAGACTGCAGAATCTGCTCTTATTTTTCTCTGTCTGTTAGGTCTCTGAGCTAGAATTAACATAACACAAAGCATTTTTTTCAGATTTGTTTTTAAGGAAGCTGCTATATAGCTTTTGTTGGTGCTTTCACTGCTGCAGGAATGCTATGTAAGTGATGTGAAATTGGAGTTTAGGTAGTTCAGGAGAAAAAGTCTGTGTTCAGTGATGAGCCACACTGTGGCAAGATGTAAGAAGTGCAAAGGTTTCAGAAGGAACTGGAGAGAGAATATCAAACCTATTGGTCTTTAGGATTTGCATTCTGCTGAAACCATGAGATACTTGCCTGCCTTTAGGAAGTTGTTTTGCTTCCCTTTAAAGGAATTGACATCTGTGCTACCTAGAGAATATGTAACTAATGGGAGATTTCATCAGCTCCAGTGGCTTATGGATACAATGATACATCTAAAAAAGGAGATTCCCATGTAAGCAAAGCCACCATGATTTGTATCAGCCTTTGCATATTTTTTGCCTTTGTCTCAACTCCCAAAATTACAGGGAGGAAATGACCATTGAGAAAGCATTGTCTGTATGCCATAGTCCTAAACACAACTCTGGTCTGGACTTGAGCCCACCATTTGGAAAAAACATCTCTTCCTGATTAAAACATTCCTGTGGTGGATTTACCACCAGCATTCTTGGTACATGGTTCCAGTAATTAATTACCCGGACTGCAAAAAATGCCTGCCTTGTTTCTAGACTGGAGCCAGGGTGTGGGCACAGGGTCTGGCTTCTCTGAGAACTGAGTCAGATAAGAAAGCCATCTGGGCTGTACTTGGTCTACTTCCTCTCATATTCAGCCCCAGTTTATGCACAACTCTTCTGCAGCATCTTCTACTTTCTGGCTGTGTTAACTGAATGAACCTCGCAGCACTGCACACCTGATTGTCCCCTGGCAATGAAGGTGGTGTGAGCTGCCAGGTAAAGTGATTGTGCTTCTGAGAGCACATGGCATTGGGGAACTCAGCCCTAGTGTCCCTTCTGTCCCGATCTTTATCCTCTAAACCATCATTCCTCTAATACTTCATACCATCCTAATACTTTTGATTGTCCTTAACATTTTCCATCGGCACAGTGTAATGAGGTGAGGTGTAAATCCTGTGAGGTGGTGCCAGCAAAGTGATCCATGGGGTCTCTTCAGCCCATGTACCACTGCACCTGCATCTCTCACCTCACTCAAGTTTGACTTTCTGCAGCAGTAAGGTCAGGGAAGTACAGGGCACACTCTAGGATGTCTCTGGGATATTACCCATAAACTTAAATTCATTACGTTCATGTTCTCAAGAGCTGGGTGTAAAAAAGAACAGAAAGCAAGTGAGAGTTATGGTCTGACAATCTGTTAGTGATATTTCATACCTCTGTATACCTTTGTTTTGCATTTTGCACTTTTAACTCACATGATGAAGTTTTCAGACAGAAGTGGGTATCAGGTGTAAGCTGAGTTCCTTGTTTTTGTCTTTTGCCTGTCACTGGCTGCATGTTCTCTGTTGATGTCTTGTTCCTGGTACTTGACACTGACCATCTTGTCTGTGAAAGGAAGCCCTCCAGCTGGTTTGCCTGATGAGAAGAAAGGAAAGTTTGCTTGGTTTAGTCACTCCACAGAAAGCCATGGTAATGTTCCACTGCGCTCTGCACGTGTCTGTGTGTCTGTATATCTCTGTGCAGACTGGCCTTTAAATCAGATTTGTATTCTCCTGCATGTGAGTGCCTGGCTTTGTCTGTTGCTTGTGCAGTGTCCTCTTCATGCACCCAAGATGACAAGCTGCTCTGCAAATCGATCTTGTGCTAATGCCTTCAGAATATTTTTTCATTTGCAAAAAGCTCAAATGTGTTTTGAAACTGTTTTACCTCATCTTCCAAACTGACTTGTGAAATATCAGCATTTTGGTTTTATTCCTGCAAGGCATACTCTGGACAAAAAAAAATTAATTATGAATGTTGGTTTTTTTTCCTCATAGCTTACTTGGCTGTTTCATGTATACCAGAACTTGAATTCAGTTTATTCCTTAATTTGCCCTTCCAAATAGACAAGATTATTAAAATATCTATCTTCATAAAGGAGCAGGCACCATTAGAGTGCAGTATTTCATAGCTCTGTCAAAAGTGCTAGAGAGTCCATTATTTCATGTGGTCCTAAGAAGACAGTACAAGAATTGTAGATTTCCCAGTAAGCGTGTTGGAGGTATGTGAATTGTTGTGATGGAATGAAGGAAAGGTAGCTCATTTTCAGGGACATTTCTACCATAATGCTTTCAAAGCAGTAACCCAGAACATTTTTGAAAGAAAGAACATTTTTAATGTCTTTTTAGCCCCTGAAAGAAGACCATGGCCCCATGAGCATCTGCCCAATTGAAACACAGAACCTATTTCTTCTACCCTGGCTCACTTTGCACCAATGACCCACAAACAGATATATTCTTACTATTGAGTCACATATTCCTGCAGGCTGTTAGAAATCTCTCCAACAGCTAACAGCACATGCTCTCAAGCCTCTTCTGAGATATGTATCCAACAGCTAATGCAGGCCATGTTCTCAAGTTCTACCAGGCTCCTGGGAGATCAGTTTAACTCCTCCATCATTCAGTCTTAAGTAGAATTTTTTCTTCTTTTTTTTGTGTATTCCAAAACAGCTGAGGAGGGAACAGGACACATATTGGATTCTATCCATTTTCTTACCTTTAAGATTATGTATAAAGAATGATTTGAGCTTATGCAGGAGCTGTGAGCAACGGGGGAAATGAAAATGATGTGGGTATGAGGGATTTTTTTTGGTCTGTAGAAGCAAATAAAATCTTGAAGTTTGAGAACAACTAGAAACAGGTTCTTGAAACTAGATGAGAGAGGTTCACACCAAAGGTTGCTTTCATTTGATGTTTGTTCCATGGTACTTCTGTAAAGCCTAGAAGGTTCTGTCCAGTTCTTAGTTGTGAAAGTCAATGTAAAGCTGCACCAGAGTCCATACTCATTAGCTCATTTGTTGGTAATATCTGAGTGGGCCAGAGAGTCTGAATTTCTGTCTTATACCTCCAGGTCCAGTTTCTAGGTGTAAGGTTGAATCACATTTATGGTTAGTAAATGATAGATGAGCCATCAATATTCTTCATTTGGTATTTGCTATCAGGCTAACAGAAGCTGTTTATCTGCATGCATCTCAACCCTGGTACCTTTTATTTGTATTCTAATCATTGCACAGAAGATTGGAGAGGGCAGTGAGGTGGTTGGGCTGCTGCAGGTAAAGAGGCTTTTTTTTTTTTTAAAGTTTAATGGAATCAAACAAAAGCTTCTTGTTGGGATTGTCAGGTGTTTTACTTTCCAGTGGTTCTCATTAATAAAATTTCCAGAAACTGACTCTGAAAGAAGGAGAGCAGCTGCTTCTTCCCTTTTCTTTAGCATTTGAGTAACCTGTATGTTCCTGAAGTCTACCAGCCCAACCTGCTCTGTAGAGGGAGGCACTAGACTTGCTCAGCAAATTGTTTAATCCTCAGGAGCTGCAGCTAAGGGTCTTTCCATGAAGCCAGCTCCTTCAGTCATGCACTCATTAGGAGGTGTGCCAGGTTCTAATGGCCATCCCTCTCTTTTCCTTCCCTCTGACTCTTGCAGTGAGCATGCCCACCAGCGAGACCGAGTCCGTGAACACCGACAACGTCCCTGGCGCGGATATGGAAGGGGAGAACTGCGGCGCACGGCTGGCGTGAGTACCCACATGTCCTTCCAAGGACCCCCAGCATGGGAGTAGAGTGCTCTGACTCCATGATTCAGGAGGCTGAGCAATTGCTTTACTAAGCTATACTATATTACACTAATACTATACTAAATTACATACTAAAAAGATACCATACTAAAGAATAAAGAAAAATCCGTGACTGTCTGAGACAGGACACAGCTTTGACCCACCTGGCCAATCAATCCAAACAGCCCTCAGCAGAATCCAATTAACAAATCACTTTGGGTAAACAATCTCCATAACACATTCCACATGCGCAAAACAACAGGCGCAGTGAATAGAGATAAGAATTGCTTCTTCTCTGGGCTTCTCACTGCCTTTCCCAGGAAAAATCCTTTGAGAGAGTTGTGCCTGCTGCTCTCTGTGAAGAGAGATGCGGCCACACCTGCACACAGATCGTGTGTCAGGGCTGGGTTGAACTGGGAGTAAATCCAGGCAAGTGTCAGGCTTTTCAAGATCAACAAAACCCACAGGGAGTGAAAGGAAAGGCTGAAGAAGATCTATTGATCCAGGTTGTTATCTTAATTGTGATGTAATGTCGCTCTGGACATTAGAGAAGAACCTCTTGTTTTACACAATAGTAAATAAGGACAGAGTGCCCAGGATAAGCAGATCTGGTTTTGTATAATATCTAAAAGATAAACTGGTGGATAACAGTGTTCTTATTTTAAAATTCCTCATTGGTGATAGACTTTCAAAACCAGTATATGTAGACTGAAGAGTGGAAATGACTGGTCTATTTTAATTTTTCTAAATATTCTTGTACACTTTACAGTGTCTTGTAATAGAAATGCACGGACGGTAACTCTCATCCTGCAGACTTAATTTCACCCTTTAGCTGCTGAACAGAATAGTGCAATGAAAAAGAAATACAACAATTAGGAGGGATTAATGCCTCTTTGAAATTACACCATTGTAATAAGTGGAGATGCTCAAGAATGTGTGAGATAGAAGTTAAGAAATGCCATAATATGTGGTGTATTTTTTAGCCTCACAGAAAGCAAGTATAGGCAAGAGGAGTCCTTTATTCCCTTTTGCATTATTTAAACAAGAATGGACTTTATGCTGTGGGCAATACGTTATACACTCCAAATTTCCTTGACACATGAGCTAAACATATCAGTGCTACAGCTTGTATCATGCTGGAGTATTTTGAAGTTCTGTCCTATCCTGGGAGCTACCTTAAGCCCTTGGATATTGCTTGAATGACCAGATGGGATCCATCCTAGGGTGATGAGTGAGCTACCAGAAGAACTCTCCAAGCCATTCCATCATTTATCTTCAGTCCTGGCTCACCAGGGAGGTCCCAGATGACTGGAAGCTGGACAATGTGACACCCATCCCTGAAAGCTGAAAGGGAAGAGTGGCTGGGCAGGGGCCAGGCAGGAAGGGAGCTGGGGTTGTCACTGACAGCAGCTGAACAGAAGCCAGCAGAGTGCCCTGGTGGCCAGGAAGGCCAGTGGCTCCTGGCCTGGATCAGGAATGGTGTGGCAGCAGGAGCAGGGAGGGCACTCTGCCCCTGGCACTGGTGAGGCTGCACCTCGAGTGCTGTGCCCACTCCTGGGCCCTCAGCTCAGGGGGGATGTTGAGGGGCTGGAGGGAGCCCAGGGAAGGGCAGCAAGGGTGGTGAGGGGTCTGGAACACAAATCCTGCAAGGAGCAGCTGAGGGAGCTGGGAGTGTTCAGCCTGGAGAGGAGGAGGCTCAGGGGAGACCTTCACTCCACAGGTACCTGAAAGGAGGGAGTAGCCAGGGTGGGATCAGGCTCTTCTCCAAGGCAAGAGGACGGGATGACACAGCCTTAAGCTGTGCCAGGGGAGGTTTAGTTTGGACATTGGGAAGGAATCTTCACAGAAAGGGTGATTGGACATTGGAATGGGCTGCAGGGAGCTGCTGGAGTCACCATCTCTGGAGGTGTTTCAGTAGACTTAATGTGGCATTCAGTGCCATGGTGTGTCTGAGTGGCAAGGTGATGTTAGGCCATAGGTTGGACTTGATAATTTCAAAGATCTTTTCCATCCTAGTCAATTCTGTGTTTTTCTGTGATCTGCCTTAAAAGATGTGGTATGTGGAATATATTGTAATTTCAATATCTGCTTTTCTTCAAGAGTCAGTCAGTGATTTACAGGCCCCTGGAGAAATTATTTGTGATCACTTTCCTCCACCTGCCTGCTGTTGGGAACCTGCTGAGTCTTTTAGTTTAAATTATGAACCCTTTCCTGCAGGAACCAGGCTAGATGTATCCACAGCACTGGGGCAGTTGTAGCCCTTTCTTTGGCACCCCACTAAGCTGCTTGTGCTCTTGGCACTGTACAGGAAGCATCAGCTGGATCCACTCTGGAGAACCCTCTTTATTCTGCAGCTATGCTTCACAGAATGGGTCAGGTTGGAAGGGACCACCCTGGCTCATGGGGTCCAGAGTGGCAGCCAGATCTGACCCAAACCTTCGTGTCTCCAACAAGGCCTTTTCTGTTTGTTGGTATGAGGTGGAGCAGCACATCGTTCCTTGTGGGAACCTCCACATTCTGTGTCAGAAAGCTGCCATTGTTGCTTTCCAGGAACCTCCTGGGCTGGTTTGCTTTACTGTGCTGCTTCTTCAGAATATGTCAGAGCAGTGAAAGTCCCTCATACGTGCGGACACGGTGCCAAAAAGAATGGCAGCAGTTACTAGGAGGTTTCATGTATTTTTAATATTGCAGCTTGCATTCATTTAATGTTCTTAATCCCAAAGGATCCTAAAGCACTTTATGAACTGTAAATGCAGGGATTGTTTTCACAGCATTAGAGTTCAGCCACCTTCAGGGTAAAATGTGACAGGTGTTTAAAAACAACAGGCACAAGTATTTAAGGGGTTGCATGAGGGATAACTTGTTTTGTGCAGAAACTGCATTGGGAATTTTGGCAATCAGAACATAATTATCTCCGCTGGAATGTGGCCAGGAGGGCTGAAGTTAAACCCAGCTCTAAATGTAATCATGGCTTAGAATGGAGTTTACTTAAAATAGCCCAGCATGCTCACGGGAGAATGGCAGTACCCTGATTTGGCATTAGGAGAAGGGATGGCTAAGTCCAACATATTTTAGGGAAAAAGACATAGGAAAATTACAAGAAAATAGAGTTTCATTTCTTCTTCTCATGTTGTAAATGTTAAAACAGGGCCCATAGTTTTAGCAGAGATATGTAAGATTCAGAGATAAACAGTTTCCTTGCAACTTTCACTTCATCTGGAAATGGGTGATGTATAGTAGGCAAATTGAAATCTGTTATTGAGAAGGGTTTGTTTAGTTCTTACCCAAGGACAGCTGAGAATCCTCAAGGCCTCCCTCGGATTGCTTTTCATCCCTAGGAGATGGATAGGCTCCTTCCTCCATGGAAATGAATGGCTGTATCACTGATTATGAAATTCTGGAGTGAGATACAAATTTTGCCAGTGCTGCCTGCTTTTGTAAAATGTTTGTTTGAAACTTGTGGATCTGGAAATTCCTCTTTATGGGCCAATTCAGAGCTGCCTCTTGTTCTGAGGCTTAGAATCCTTTCTGGTTTCTTTATTACTGTGTCACACACTTAGGCAGACAAAGAAACCAGCTGTCATTGTTTCAAGAAGTATTAAGTACTCTTCTTTTTACTGAGTCCTCATTCAGGCCCTCCATAGTTCAATATTCCTTCTGGAACTTATAAATATAAGCAAGGATTTATTTGAATGAGTGTGTTCTTTTATTGGAACTTGACTAAGAATCAGAATTTGGCGCAGTGTTCAAGAAGAGTGAATTTTTTTTAAAAACGTTCCTCATCAAGCACTAGATTTTGAGTACTAGCATTAATAGTATACTAGCATACAGTCACGTCATCCTGATTTGCTGTATTTGAAGGTTAGGCCTGGACTTTTGAGCAGACACCTGCTCTCTCCTTCTGCAGTTGGAATGGTTAGCCAAGATTTTTGTTTGATTGTTGGGTTCACCTGTTGCAGATGAGTCTCAGTGCTTTTACCAGCATTCTAAACTCACCCCATGGCCCTGAGTCCCCATTGCTTTGCTATAAACACACTCTTTCCCAGAGGGCAGAGGCTGCTCTGGGCAGGCTGCAGCCAGACATGACTGAAGCAATGTGGGGCTTTCAAGTCAAAGGCAATATATTTCTTTATTTATTGACATCCAGCACCACCACTACAGTTATAGGCTGAGCTTGCTATCAAAATGTGCTCATGATAAAAGGAAAAAGATGCCCAGGAGACTAAAAGAAAATGCTTTTTCATTGAAAGCAACTTAGAATTACTCACTATTCTTTCTGTTCTTTTAAATCTGTAGAGTTTTGAAAGGCTGGGTCTGTGACTGACAGAAAGATCTGCTTGAGAAGCCAGGCTCAAAAGTGCCTTTTGGAAAAGGAGATCTTCTCTGACAGCCTTTCTCAGCTCCACAAAGACATATGCTGTGTGAGATCAGGAGAGTACCTCTCAAACACAAACTATTGCCTACTGATAAATTGTCTCAAAGAAGCTTTTGTTTTTCTAGTATCCATACTACAGAAACTGCCTTTATCAACTGTCCTGTCTGGAGTAATGCCAGCCTTCAAGCCAGCAGGAGTTTCAGGAGGACTCTAAGAATTTTAGAAATATAACAAACCAAAAATCAACCAATGTAATTCATAATGATTTCTGGTGTAATTCTGCTGGCAAGGGGAGTGCTGTGCACAGCACAGTTCATTTCCTAAGGAAGTGCACTTTATCAGGCATCTGAATTTGAAAATGGTTCTGCAGGCTTCCACAGGACATTGAAAAGCATCCCACAACTTCCACAGTATATTATTCCTGTCATGGTATTGCCTTGTACTGGGCTGGCATCTGCCCTGCAGTAGGAGCACACCAGCTTTTATCCTCAAGGACAGCATTTGGGAGTGGAACTTATCTTTTTATGATGTGTCACAGCTTTCACAACCTGTTGTCTCAGGGTACAAAGAAACCTGTTTCCTCTGCAGCAGGCACCAGTCCTGGGACAACCCCAGCCCCAGGAGCAGTGGGGTTCTGTTTGCAGGATATTCTTACAGCCAGAGCTTCCCAATAGCCAGTCATTTCCCTGAGCTTTTGGGGTTACTGCTGTGCAGGACACAGATTCCTGAGGACAGGCTATTGCTCATAATCAGGAGTAATCTGTTCTGTGCAGGGTGTCAGCATATATAATCTTCCAATACAAGCAGAATGTTAATTTTCTAATACAACCATACAGATCAGGAGTGGCACAATAGAGCTTGCTTTTATACATATGCATTAGCTAAAAAAAGACCTTTGTGGAAGCTAATGCTCCATAGAGCTTCAATAGAAAAGTGAAGCACTTGAGCTCAAAGGGAAAGAGAGATTAAAATTATCTGCTTTCATTGAAACAATAACACACTTGGCATTTATGCCTTAGCCAGGATTTCTATACATATGGGGGGAAGTTTAATTGCTTTTCCACCAAAAACAATAAAACAGGACAAACAAAAATTAGCAGCCTACAGTGGCTTTCCAACTGAAAACAGTGTGTCCTGAAAGTGTTATGAGCAATGGAAGGTTTCCCTGGCAGCTGAATGGTCAGTGATTTTTCCCTTGGTGCTTTTCTGGCATGGAAATTAATTCCTGCGCAGTTCTTGCAACAATCAGCATAGGAGCCAGGGGTAAAGGTAAAAGTTTTCTTGCAGGTTTGCTGTAGTTGTCACTGGTTTTCACCTTGTGAGAAGATGGGCTCCTTGTGATGTGATGGAACCAAAGTTCCCACCACATCAGGGACAGTGGGAAGAAAAGTCTGCCAAAAGCTCTGAAACCACTGCTGACTTCAGCAGGAAAACTCACAGGATCCACCTTATGTGTCAGTCTCAGATACTGCTCTCCAGTTTATTACAAGCAAGGTGCTTTCAATATTCACAGCCAGCTCTAGGTGTGTGTCTAAAGGGCAGTAGCATACCCTTATGGAAGAGGAATTTTCTTCCTGCTTTAGATTCTGTGACAGGTTTTGCTGTGACTTGCCACAGGTAGAGCAAAATTTTTTACTGAATGCTGAAATGCCGGCCTGTTTTTCCAGCCTGTAAGAAAGCCTGTTGAATAGCAAACCTACTTAATTTTATGTTAGATCCAATTTTAGGGCTATTCTGTAGATTCTTATTGTGCCACCTTACCAGTTACTGCATGAATGCACCACGTTGCCCCACAGCAGACTCCATGTCTCACCAGGACTGCCTTCTCACAGTACTAAAATCTGCAAGATACAGCCAGAGAAGCTATTTGGATGTTTTCCAAAGCTGTATATAACCTAGAATCTTAGTAAAGTCCCTTTCTGTGTTGCTGCTTTTCTGACAGCTTTTCCTGGTATCCAAAGGCTTTTATGAGTCCTTATGAAGATGTGGTTGCCTCTAAGTTGGGATCATACAATATAAAAGTAGTTGTGACCAGAGAGTTAGATAATGGTCATGTTTGATAATGTCCAGACCCAGAAAACAACTGTAATGTGGCCTTTCTGTCATGCTTGATGACCTACAAGATCTTTCCTGAATTGGAATGTTGTGTGAATGCAAGAATTGCCTGAAATTGCTGTGTGTACAATTCCACAGGGCCCTCAATCCCTGTTACACAAAACTGTCACATGCTTCACAAACACCTTCTCTGGTGTTCATGAACAGGGAAAGGAAGACTTTATCTCAGAATGTGGGATATCTCATTACATTTGAGTTATGCTGATTACCCAGAGTTTATATTGATAACAACCTTTAAATTTGACCATCTTATTTGTGTGTTGTGCATAACAATGTAAGGTTTGAAGAGTTCTAGAGAATTTCAAAGATAGCTAGTCAAACAGACTGATTTTTGTGTTTGTTTTTCTGTTTTTGTGTTTGTTTTTTGGGGTTTTTTTGTGTTTGTTTTTTCTAAAAGACAAGCTGAGTTACATGGTTCCTCTGATAAAAGCACTCAGTAGTGATATGAAGTGGTTTTCATTATGCTCCTATACCATCATTTTAAACAAGAGTTTCCCAAGGCATTCCAGAGTTGGACAGAATTGGAGTCACCCTCTTTCTCCCATAAATGACATAAAACTACCAGGACACCAGAGCTGCAAGAGATCCATGTTTAAACTCAGCAGAGAATCTGATCCACTCTGAACCCATTAAGTGCCAGCATGGAGTGTCACAGACACTGTGGCACAATTTCCAGACTATTTGACAGCCCCTAGTGATGCCATGAAAGCATTTTTTAATGTGACACTGGTAACCCAAGTTCTGAAAAAAATTGTAATCATAGAGTCACTTGAAAAATGTGTTTCAGATTCATGCATAATATTTTCAGAAACATTTATTATACAGTTTATTTCCAAGATTCCATTTCACTCTCTGATTCTACCTCTAAATATAAATCTAATCCTCCTTCCTTGTCCTCTTCCATATATATAGCACACCCACATATGATAAAGCCTTCTGCCACAGCAGTAAGGCAAGGTGGAGGGAGGGGGATGAAGGCTGTAGGTAACCTGTGGGAGCACTGATTGCACTTGGCTGCTGCTCACAATGCTCCAAAGATATAATTATCACATGCATGATGAGTACTACACCTGCTGCATCTCTTTTGCTTAAATAAATAAAAGATTCCAGTGCTGCCTCACTGGGAAAGCATTAACCAGAGAGGTCACCAGAGGGTTTCACACTCCCTGTCCATCCCCTTCCATCTCTCTCTCTCTTGCTCTCACTCTCTCTCCCCCTCTGTCCCTGCCAAACTATTCCTATCAAAATCCTCACCACCTCCTTTCCAGTGCTCAGCTTTCTGCTTCGTTGTGATTTTTACATCTCTTCACTTCCCCTTTTCGAGCCCTCTTTCCTGTTGCCTGTGAATCTGCTCCATTACAGTTCGTAGGTAGTGCTCATCAAGCCAGGATTCTCAGTGGGAAGTAGGAATAGCTTTAACATTAAGGATGTGTTTTGTAGGTGCTTCTCTTGGCATCCTTGTTAGAGCTTGCTTTGTCTCTGCAGCATAATTTAGCATTCTGCTCTGCCAGTGCATTATTTCTTCTTCCTCAAGAGTCGTGCACGTGTCTGTACCCTCCCTGCTGCCCAGAGTGTGGCCTGGACAAGCTGCCTGTGACACAGCAGGAATTATGTATTTGGATATTTGCTGCAAAGGCCTTTTTCTTTTTTTTGCTCAGCCCATCTGCTGGTGAAAAGTTCTCCTGACTAAAACCTCTTCCAGATAAGGAACCTGCCCTATCACTGATTACTTGTCAGTAACTGATGTCCTCAAGCAGGGACAGGACCATTGTTAAGGTTGCTACAGTAAGAAGTGTTAGATGCTTGGAGAATTACATTCTCCCCTCTCTACTAACAGTGAATCCAATTTTAGGGCAGTGCAGTAAGACCTCTGCTGACTGCTGTCAACAATGACCCACTTTCCTGTCATAGAGGGAATTTTAAGGAATGTTTCAACCCAGCAGAAATACTTTTTCCATAGTCATTCCCCAGAGTTTCATTTCTGCTGCTATTGGTAGTAGATTTTGCAGCTCCACAAGTCAGTTCTGACTCACAGCATTGTATCCACACACATTTATTTCTCTCTGTGCACCATTATGGATTCACCTAAGACAGCCAAAGTGTTCAAAGGCCTTACAGGACATGTGTCAAGCAGAGCAAGGTAGTGGTTTAATAACTGGGGCCTATTTCTAGCTTTGCCTGTGACTTCTCATAAAGGATTAATGAGATTATGTAGGTGAATAAATCCAAATGCATTGAATTAGATATTTAAATACACATATAGTGGGAATATGGCCAAAATTTTCTAGAATGCTTAATTCTCAAAATTTCATTGCTAGCAACAGAATCTGTTATTGTACAGACCCATTTGAATGCAAACTGATTTACATAAATAACCAAGACCAATAAGTGTTTGTATCTAAGTTTGAAAATATTTGCCATGCACTGTGTTTCCTTCAATTACTGAAAAAAGCATTATTTTTACCATTATTGTTTCATAATGTATGTATACATCCTGAAGTGACAGGTGATGTGTGAAAGCAACAAGTCTGTCAGTGTAAAGTCATACATATTTTAATATAAGAAAAAATACAGTGACAAAAATAAAAAATAGTCATACTTCAGAAATAAATTTGGTAGCAGTTGTAGAGTTCACTGATATCTAGAGGTGGTAGAATGCCACCATGACTTCTGCTTCATGAGTCCCACCAAAACACAAGATTTGGTTATTGGGGAATTCTAGCCATGCCCAATGCCTACACTGACTTACAACAGATGGAAGGGAAAACAGCATGCATTAAAAAATGCATTGAGCTTAACTTTGTTTATTTCTATTGCTACTTGCACAAAAGCCTGGGAGGTGTGGGACAGCTTCAGAGACTCTAATGGCAATTCTTGTCTTTCAGGCATCGGATCTCAAAATCAAAATTTAGGTAAGTAAAACTTACTTTTGCTTTCCCTCCTTTCTACTGTTTTTGCTCTTTTCTGAAGTGGTTTAAACCAGCATTGCTGGGATGCAGTGGTGATTCCAGGACATCCTGCTGAATATGTCAGATTTTAGTCATAAATTCTTTTTTAGTTTGACACTGAAATAAGGCTTAGGGACTATGGACTACTGAAGTACCTACCCATGCTACCTTTGTATCTCAAACCATAAAATACAAAATCAGAAATAAAAGCCTAGTTCAACCACATAATTATACTACATCCATCAACATCTTCCCTGTCTGCTCAAGGCTCTCTTTGTTGAATTTCTCTGCTTTGCTTGATAGTAAAGATTTCAGGTGATGAAGGTGACATTCTACTTGTGAGATTCTCCCATTCAGCCTGGGACATGGGGAGCTTCTCTGGTGGTGTTTGGTTTTCTGTTGACTTAGAGCTTTTGGAAAAGTAAAGCAGTCCTAAGATGGCTATTTCTGAGATTTCACTGGAGAGGCTGGCAGAGCTCATGGAACTTGGTTGCTATGGTCATTTTCTACCCCTTTGGTAGGATCTCAGCTGCCTCCATAACCCTGAATGCAAAGTCAGATTTATAAAATACTAAATGAATTTTCAGAATTAATGGAGCAAATGTATAACTGAGTCCTTACCTAAGGAGCAATGGGTAATGTCAATTTGGGAAGCACATATGTGACATCCCCATGAAAAGAGAGTAGATATAATAAGCACAGAAAACACTCTACATTGTCATGTGCGTGCACATTTGTGCAAAAGTACACACAAAAGCATGGCAGATTGCAAATGGTTTAATGACAATGTTCATATCTAAGTGTGGTGCCCACTTTGGAAGTTGGGAAGATTATTTCTTGTCCCAATTCCACTGCAAAACACACAATGTATCTGTTTGTGATAAACTGGGTGCCTTTGTAAATTGCAAAGGTAAAACATCCTAGATTTTACCACCTGTTAAAATGCAGCAAAATCCTTGTTCACATTGTGTTTTTAGGGTCTGGCATTAGTTCCTGTAGATGAGAACCCTGATCTCAGCATGGCTGTAGTTTATCACTGAAAATTATACACAGGGCAAGAGTAGCCAAGAAAAGTTCTTTCTCCTGTAACATGGTGCATGTGTGTGTCACTTCAGACACACACACATATGTATGTAGTATCTATATAAAACTATTAGATTTATTATACAGTGGCAAGTGTTGCCTGGAAACTGGTTGCTATGCAAGTTAAATTCTGAAGAGTAGGAGGTGTGTAATTAGCTTTAAATATCTTCTGTGGTTAGTAATTACCCTGAGAAATCAGTGACACAAGGGGATGTGTTCATGGAAGGCAAACTTTAAAAACTCTCTTGATTAGCAAATGGTACCCTTAGTTCCAGGCATGAAGGTGAGAGGCTGAAGTCCCCTAAGTTTTGGGATTTTTTTTCAGAACTAGCCCTTGTATTGGGCTTGCTCCTGAATGTTGCTAAATGCTGGAAATGTTCTTTAGCTTTTATTTGACCTCACCTCTCCAAAGACTTAATCCTCCAGCTCCATGTGATAGAGCATCTTTCTATTGACTATCCTGAGGCTGGGCAAGGTGCCATTGCAGGGCCACTAGAAGCAAGTACAAGGAGAATATTTATTTTTCTGGCAACTGAGCTAAAAAATCTCTTAAGGTTTCTGCAGTGGATGTCTTACTCAGATAAAGGAATTGCTTGAAGCTCTTGCAAATTGGTTTAGAACAAACTTTATTCCTATAGCGATAGGAGGGACGTTCACAAGTGTCAGCTCAGGTGAGAGAGTGTTTCTCAGGGTGAACTTAAGTTATTCTCTACTATTTTTGAACAATAAATCTAGACTAGAGTCTCCCCTAACAGAGAGCTGCAATAGCCTAAAGATCCCTCTCTGAAAAGAACTTTCCCTTCTTCAATTTTTCAAGTCGCTACTGGCGCCGATGGAACCGGTTCTGCAGAAGGAAGTGCCGTGCTGCTGTCAAGTCCAACGTTTTCTATTGGCTGGTGATCTTCCTCGTGTTTCTCAACACCCTCACCATTGCCTCTGAGCACTACAACCAGCCAGACTGGCTCACGGAGGTCCAAGGTGAGGAGGAGATGCTGGTTCTGTTTATTATGGAGGGTGTCAAAAAAAGGAGTTGAGAGAAGAGCTGATGCATTAAAACCACACTGTGTAAAAGGAGCATGCACAGCTCCAAGCAGTCCTGTGTCTGTGGAGGATCCTAAAAAATGCAATGACCTTATCTGCATGTGTTGGGAGAAGTTATAGAAAAAATGTAAAAAAACCTCCTTTCCAGCCAAAGCAGTGTTCCATCGGGTGTAAGTAAAATCAGGAGCTTATGCTAAATTTATATTTGCAGCAACTGGATTCCCAATTTATGGATAGCTGCTGGGAACCCCACATTGTCCAAGGTTTCCCCTGAAATGGCCTTTATGATAAATTCTAATTATTAGGGAGGTGATGAAGAGTGATTTGTAAAGTTCTTCTGTCTGCAGAACAACTGAATTCTCTCTGGAGGTGAGAGCAGCTGAAAAGGCTTAATTAAGCAACAGTAGGTAGCACAGCAGCTCTTCTATTCCCACTCTCCTCTGCAGATGACGGGTGTGAAGGCAGGTTGTGCAGGGAAGGCGTGTCCCTGCCATTGCAGGTTGTGTAATACATTGCAGCTGTATGTGCAGTACATGAGAATTGCTGTAACCATCTTGCTAAAACATTTCTGTGAATGAGATGCCCACGCTTTTCGAGTTCATTCTTTGACCCAAGCTATATGAAGTTAACTTTTAAGGCTGATCCTTAAAAAGCTTCCTTAGAAGCAAGGGGCAATTAGTTGTGATGTTCTTTTGACTAAGTTTCCTTAATCTGTTTCTTTTCGCTTTTCATGAGACACTGCCAATAAGGTGCTGCTAGCTCTTTTCACGGCAGAGATGCTGCTGAAGATGTACAGCCTTGGTCTCCAGGCCTACTTTGTGTCCCTCTTCAACCGTTTTGACTGTTTCATTGTGTGTGGAGGCATCCTGGAGACCATCCTGGTGGAGACAAAGATCATGTCACCCCTGGGCATTTCGGTCCTGAGATGTGTGAGACTCCTAAGAATATTTAAAATCACAAGGTACTTTATTGTTTCTTTGGGGCTGGAGGGGGGCTGCTGCTTGACGCACAACATGTGTGGGTACAAGTCACTCACATCCCTGTTTACTTCCACTTTTTCTGCCACTATTTAGGCAGTGAGAGTGCTGCAATGCTAGATTAACAGTCCTCATCTACTGGAGTCTGTGACAGGTGGGGAGGGCTGTACAGACTGGACATCTACCCCCAACATGAGGGGTGAGGAGTCAGGCACAGGCAGCTGGAGACACCTGACACCACATAAAGTGTTAAACTGAAATCTGGAATAATGTGAGCTGAGCTCAGACTCTTACAGTTCTCTGCAAAAGACCAAGAAAACCAAAACAGCAGATAGCCTTGTGACCTCCTCTGACGCTTTTTGATGACAGAGAGGAGCCTGAAAGGCTTTCAGCCAAAACAGCATTTGACTGAGGAGCCCATGCCAGCTCCAGCAGACTCAACAGTGACCCGAGTGGCAGACTGTGTCAATACCAGCAGCTATAGGCAAAGGATGTTGCCAGTTATTCCCCTTCCAAGGAGTCCATCACAAAGCAGCAACTTTATGAAGAAACCAGACTTTTTCCAGCTTCCAATATCTCCTCTTTTCCCTTTTAATTCTTTCCCCTCTCCCCCTCCATAAAGGCACGGTGATAGCTATTAAACAGTCAATGCTTGCTGAGCCAGGTACCTCCAAAATATCAGCTTGGTTTGGCAGGGATTTTTCAGATTTTGTAGGAGACATCAGCTCCAAACTTAGCCAGAGCTCTTGCAACAAATCTGTCCAAGCTCTTGCCCCAGGTAGCACAAGGTCTGCCTTTTCCCATGTGGGCACCAGCCAGACCTACAAAAAGCTTGACTGAGGTGGTGAAAGAGTTCTTTTTCTGCCTGCTCAGCCATAAAAATGTCCCTACAATTCCTGTAACACTCCCCCCTCCCCACCAGTGGAAATTTCTGACAAATTTGAGATAGAAAACACAGCACATGAGAAAAACAAGTCCAAAACTGGAAGATAGTCAAGATGGCTGAGAGGCAGAAAAAAAACAACAGACTTGGACTTGTGCATCACACAAGATTTGTCCTTAAAGCTTCTGAGCCTCAGATCTCTGGCAGGATGGATGGATCTCAGGGTCAGATGACAGAGACAGAAAATTGGTTCACAGTCTCAGAGAGCGAGGCCAAAGCAAGCCTACAGCTGTTCCAAAAGTGGGGGGAATCATGGTCTGTTTGGATGTGTGATCATAGAAGAGGGAAAAACCTTCCAGAGGGGAGCATTCCCTCTCAGAGAGGAGAAACAAGAGTTTCCAGCAAGAAAGGCATCTTTGCTGTGTCAGAAGTAGTGGGGATCTCTGGTCTGGGGATTGTTTTTCCTGGATGTACCCATTACCAAGTCCCAGGCCTGGTTTCTGAGGAAAGCAGTAGCTGTTTCAGGCACTGGGTAATCAGATACACCCAGGGCAACATACCAATAGCTATAAAAGCATGAGCTCCAACATAGCATCCTGGAGAGGTCATTGTTTTTTCAAGGCATGTCTCCACTCCTACATGAAATATATAAGCTAGCTAAGAGAATTTTCTAGTAGAAAGGCAAACACTGAGAGAATATCATTAAAACTTGAGAAAGCCTGAGCTGGTGGAGTACTCATATATTCCTAAAACTTCTGGCAGAAATGTGATGTTGGAACCAATCAGCAGTAGGACTGGTTACATTTACCTTCACTCTGCAGCACAATTAAAATACAATTTTGCCTGGAAAAAGTGTTACCTGGAATATGTCTCCTGCAATTTGTGCATGGGTCTGTGTGTAAAGCACAGAGCTAAGGAAGAACTCATGATGCATAATGTATTAATCAGATTTTTCTTTCTTTCTTTCCTGTTCCTACAAGATTGACAAGTAGGCTGCAGCAGCTTCAAATTTATATGTTTTGTAATTATTCATAATTTTCTTCATAATTCTTCACTCTGTGGGTGAAGTTCACCCTCATGTGGAAGGCCCTAACATGAGCCTCCAAAGCAGTATTTTAGGCTTACTCATGCCTTACTGCAGGACAGAATACTTTGGTATTAAATCCAAACTTTTATTTTCTCTAATAAATTACATTTTTCTATTGTTCACTATTGTCCTTACTGCAGGATAGAATACTTTGGCATTAAAGCCAAACTTTTACCTTCTCTAGTAAATTGCACATTTTTCTATTGTTCACTCAGCTCTAAATACAATGAGGATTTATAAATGACATTATCAGCATTGGTGGAATACCCCACCTGAGTGCAATGATAATTCAGAAATCTTTCTGGAAAGCTGGGAGGGGCAGAAGGAACTATATAATTATTTGTTTTATATCAAACAATTATATAGACTTATTATTGGTTTATATCAAATAATAATTATAGAATTATTTGGTTTATATCAAACATACATTCATGACCATGTGGGAACCTACAGTGGAAGTGAGAATAGTGATAATCTAGGATATTAAAAAGGTACAAAGCAGGAAAATTACCCTGGTGAGACTACATCAGAAGGTAGCCTATTTATATATCTGCATAGATTTTCCATGGTAAACACCAGGCACAAACAAATTCTGGGTCATCAAGGTGATACAATTCTACAAGAAACACAAATATAGCTCCATAATGGAACAGAAGCAAATGAAGGTGCCATCTGATGAACAATGCATCATTTTAGAAACATCATTTAGAATTTCAAGACCAAACATTTCTTCCAAAATTACACATACAGTAGGCAAGCAGACAATGTAATCTGTTTTATTCTCCCTAATTTTTAAAGTGCTGTGTAGAACACCTCACTTTGCTATGAGAAGACGGATTATTTTCTCATTATGAATAATCCTTTAGTGCTTTATATGTATTATAGTCCTTTGTATTCAAAATATAAATTATATCACTTGTGACAGCATACAGAAATTTGATGTTTTATACCTAATCCTGCCACTAGGTAATTCACTGTTATTTGTAGGGAGGAGAGAGAGGGTGCCCCATTTTTTGTACTTTCTGTCAAAAATCACTGTCAAAGTGGTTTTATATTGGATGAACAGGGTGGGAAGCTTTCCAATAATGAGTCTGCCAGCTGTTGCTGTTGTTTTAAACCCTGCATCTGTGATTGCCAGAGATGGGATCATAAAGCTGTAGGGGAAGGCAATGGAGAGAGAGGGCAGGGAAGAGAGCAGAGCAGGTTAAGTTCTAATCCAGTTCTGCAATTGATTGTTGTGTGAGGTGTTGAACAAACCACTTGACTTCTCTGCATCATTCCTCCACTTTGAACAGGATCACAACCAGGCCCAGCTCACCTGGGGGTTTGCAGATCCTCGTTCCCTGGTACCCTCGAGGGCCCAGGATCTGCAGTGGGGGCTGTTCAGAGGCACATCCATTTCCCCAAAAATCTGAGGCAGCAGCGCTGCTTTCTCTCATGCTTCCCACTAAAAGCTGCCTGGTCCAAACCCTCCTATTCCCTCCAGCATCCAGTGTTGATTTTCCTTTGTAGTAAGGTGATAGCTAGAGGGGATGAAGTAGGGAGACCCTTCTTTTTCTGGGCTTCAGCCATTGCTGACATGAAACCCTTGTGTTGCACTGAGTAATCCCAGATCTCACTTTGAGGGAGTTCATGTTAGTTCTGCAACCACCAAATGGGACAGATGGTAACCTCAGGTCAGGCTTCTAGGACCCTGAGATAAGACTATTGTTATTTTCACATCCTAATCTGTCAAGCATTTCTTACCCTCTCCTTTTCCCCCTTTTTTCCCCCCTGATTGTTTTATTAACTTTTCTAGTGGTACTGTTTTTCTAGCTAGCACTAGTACTCAGATAAAACAGCACTAATCTTAATACCAGGCCATCTCAATTAATTGCTTGAAGCTTGATAGTTCTATAAGAATCTGAATGCCAGGTATTGAGCCATTTGTAAGAAATGCAGAGCTGATGGAAGTCTGCACAGTTGTGAGCTGAGATAGCAAGGCCTTTAAGCTTAAACTGAGTCACTGGGACTGTTCAGATTTGTGACAACTTTACTGCTTAAGGGCATTGCTAGAAGACCTAGAAAATGTGTGTCCTGGCTGACATTGGGGGACTTGGAGATATTCTGGAGCCCATCAACCTCTGCTTTAAGGATGCTGAATTCATTTGACTTTCATCAGAATGATTTTTTCCCTTCTCTTGTGTCACTTTCCCTTCTTTCCAAAGTGTGAAAGTATGTGAGCTGTGAGCATAACTGCAAGCACAGGGAGCTGTTACATTGCACATTCCGTGTGGATATTTGGTGGCACTGAGCCCACAGCTTCCATGCCCTTACCTTTGCTCTGTAGTTTTTCATTGCTCATCTCTTTAATTGCAGTTAAACTTTAAAGCATCCTAGTTTTCTCTGAAGTGCTGAAGCTGGGCTGGAGGGAAAGCATCACAGCTCTCTTTGAAGCTCAGTCCTTGGAGGTGAACCTGCTGCTGAACTTGAGAGGACACGGTGATGTCCCTCTGCAGATCAGATTGCTAATCCTCCTGAAGTGATTGGGCTGCTCAGGCAGTCCTGCCTTCCACAGGACAAGAAAAGTATTCTTTTTAGATCAATATTTAAAAAATATTAATTTAACCAGGATTTTAAGAACCCTTGTCTCTAACGAGGATAATTTAAAAAAATGATGATTTGAAGGATAAGGCTTCCACAGAAGAGGGAGAGCACCAGCCTGCCATCCTTTTTACCTGGAACTTTTTGTTTCCCGTGGGAGAAGGGACTAGAAGGTCTTGGTGGACCCAAGGCATGGTGGCAGCCCAGGCAGAAGGAAGAGCCCAGGCAAACATTGCAGGCTTGGTAACCTGTGAAAGATGTTGAAGCTTTGGTAATAATGTGCATCAAAATGAGGTGACTGGAGAATGACAGCTAATCCTCAGCCCAGGCTGAAAGCTCTGCCAGCCTCAAAGCACAAAAGAGAAGAGCTCATGACCAGCTAAGCAGTAGATTAGGAGTGACTGAGCAGATGCAAAACCAAAGTGGAAGTTGCTTCATGAGTGATGTGGTGAATTCTTTAGAATTGTTTTCTAAAGCCTCTTTCTAGCTTGTGACTACTCTGCAGGCTGACAAAGAATGCAAACTCACATGCTGCTGACATTTCTCTGCACCCTAAAGTGGAACCACAAGGGCAAGAAGATCCTCTCCCTGCATCATACATGAGTCTGAACTGGGCACAAGCCTGAATACACTGGGAGTAAAGGTCTTAACCATCCTGTCTCTTGAATGGAGCCATTTGAAAATGTTCTGCAGCCTGTTTGAAGGAGTAAAAATAAATCAGAAAACCAAGTGATGTTATGCTTTTCCAAATGAATGTAGATCTGGAGTTTGCTTTAGGGTCCATTGACATCTTTCTCATTCCTCCCAGTCCCAGAGAGCTCAGCAACCTCTCTGTGAGCGAACCCAAGCACACACTCCACATTTTGGGGAAGTTTGTATTTACATCCAAACAGTTTTCCCATCTGTTCTTGCTGGTTATTACAGGCCATTCTCTGGAGTGAGGTATTCTGGCTGCCACAACATCTGTGAGTGTTGTAATGAGGTTGGTTAGAATGTAACTCACTGAAGCAGCAAGAACTAATCACTGTATATTGATAGAAGATGTGCAGAGCCTTAGATGGAGAGTGCTGTAATAACCTTCTGGGTGTGTGTGTGGAGTGGGGGGTGGAGGGAATTGTATATGTACACGTGTGGTAGTAAAATTACTCATTAGCTGCAGTAGGTCTCGTTATCTTAGGAAGGCACATCAATGATTCACTGCTTAACAGGGTGTTTGGAAATGCCTGCTTTACACAGAAGGCAGCCTGAACCAATATCCTGTGCAGTCCACGAGCACCTGTCTCAAATTGAAGGAATTTTAACTGCTTCTATTTTCTCTCCCAGATATTGGAACTCCCTGAGTAATCTTGTGGCTTCACTCCTGAATTCAGTCCGCTCCATTGCCTCCCTGTTGCTGCTTCTCTTCCTCTTCATCATCATCTTCTCACTCCTGGGGATGCAGCTCTTTGGGGGCAAGTTTAACTTTGATGAGATGCAGACCAGGAGGAGTACATTTGACAACTTCCCTCAGTCCCTCCTGACTGTGTTTCAGGTAAGGGCACAAGTGCTTCCCGTGGGGCCAACACGTTGTGTCTTCATGGGGCAAGACAGGTCCTGACAGTCCCCAAGGTGGGGCTGGACCTGACAGCTCCAGGAGCAGAGTGCCTGGTGCTGCTGCCAGCACAGGGTATTCCCTCCCAAAGTAGGAACCAAAGATAAAACCCCTGTGTGTTGCAAGGAATGGCCATTGGCACGTCTCAGGGCAGTATCGCTGCCAAAGCCCAGCCCTGCTCTGGGGAACAAACACCTGCTCACAGCAGTAATGCCATGGCCTTAAAGCCCTCTGCAGCTTTGGGAGTGACCCACCAAGAGCACCAGGATCATGATTTCACTGAGATGAGAGAAGGGAAATGGCCTGGAGGGCTGTGCTGAGGGCAGTGCCACAGGATGTGCAGCCTGCCTGAAACAACAGGCGTGGGAGGGAAATGCTCGGAACCATGGGGATACTTGAATGGATTTGTAGGAGAGCCATTGCCTTCAGCCATCAAGAAGACACTGTTTGGGGCTTTTTCACACTTTGAGCACAGGCCTTCTTTGCATTTTCTTTGTTCTTTGGTTTGTTTTTTTTTTGTTTGTTTTTTGGGTTTTTTCATGCTCTAGATGGACACTGCCAGAGTCTCCATCAGTCCATGCTGGGGGAGGGGGTGTTCTCTAGGACAGTGGGTATCTTTGTGTTAATGGGGTTTTCAAATTCTCTGTGTGGTCTAACACTGTATCCCTTATTGGTGGGAATGTGTCATTTAGATCCTGACTGGGGAGGACTGGAATTCGGTGATGTATGATGGGATCATGGCTTATGGCGGCCCCTCTTTTCCAGGAATGTTGGTCTGTATTTACTTCATCATCCTCTTCATCTGTGGAAACTGTATCCTTTGATGCTACTCTTTTCCGCAAGAGGGGATGAATTAAAACCACTATTTACTTTGTTATGTCAGAAAATAGTGAATTCATGCCTCACGTTTTTGCCTTTTCCCTAGGTCTGAATTTTAGTATTACACTGCCAAAAGTTTAAAAAGTTCATTTTGTTTTAGCTGGTGCTAAGGCATATACACTGTTGTAAGAGCCAGCTAAATGCCAGTTCCACATACTAGCTTTTATTTAGTACCTTTACATGTTTAGTGTTTTTATTTTTCATTCCCTTTAATTCTTTCATAGGTTTTTCTTTCCTGCCTTCTCTACAAACTAATCTTTAGGTGTTCCTACTGTACTTACTGCTTTTTTTTTTTTACTTTAATGACTTTTTTAGTAATATATTCCATGTGCTTCCATCCAAGCCTTATGTGGAATAAAAATATGTATAATCTGCAATATGCTATATACAAATGCTGTAGTAGGAGTAACATATGTTTGACATAATTGATTTATGTGAGATCATGTATTAATTCATGTATACACTAACAGGACCTGTGTTCCATTTCAGTCCCTGCAATCTGTGTGTTCTTCAAACAGAAAATGTTGCGCTCTGTTATCTTCCAGCCTGGGCTGGTCTTGAATAACTTCAGTTCTGTCTGGTTTTAAGGTGAAGTGAGGGCACTGTACTCACCCCAGGAGGCACAAAGCACATTGCAGGATTGTGCTGAGCATGCCTCTTCACAGGAATTTGCATATAACATAGAGCTGCCATTCTGTTCCCTATCTCAGTTTGCTCCAGATTTGTCCATGTTTAGTTTCTGCTTCCCTAATAAATGGCCCTCCTGTGTCAGAGGTGACATTTCCTTTTATACTGATGCTTCTATAAAGCCACCTTATAGACCCAGCCCAGCTCTTCTGGCCTGTGCCCATAATTCAGATCTCTCAAACCCTCTTATTTGACATTTTGGTTGACCTGCATGCCCTCACTTCAAAGTGAGGTGGTGCAATTCCACTTGTCTGAAGGTCAAGGTAGGCAATCTGGCTGACAGCTTAAAAAAAAAGCTACAACTTGGATCTCCTTGTGAAAATGTGAGCCAACTCTACAATGCTGGCTGACTTTGGAGCCTTTAGACCTTGGAGCCCAGGGAGGGGGGGGATGTCTGTGTTTCCAGACTAAGCCTTGAAACCAGGGTTTGCTTAAAAGTTATCATTGTATAATAAGATCTACTCTCAAGAAATGTATAAAACAACCTTCTGGTCAGATTTGTAACACAAGATCTGAACTGGTAAGACAAGAAAGCAGCTGTTATTCCTTGCCCTTCAGCTACATGGGCATGACTGGCCATGCATGGACTCTCTGCTAGGAGATGGCAGAGTTGTCAGCTCAACCCTTCACTGTCCAGACTAAATTAACCTCAGAAATGCTCACCACAGTACTATGCTTGCTGTCCATAAAATCCACTCCTGCAACCTAAACTGTCAAAAGATGCAAAGCATTCCATACTCCTTTTATGTTCAGTGAGATCCTCTGCACAAAGGGAGACACTCTTGGGAAACTGGAAAGTAAAATGTAAATTTGTAAATCTGCTGTTTTTCATCAGCCATTCTGTTGTGAAATTTTGAAAACCCACAAAGTGTGTTATCTGTGTGGAAGGAAGGTGTAGGTTTGTGCATGATGGGTATGCAGTTGTGTGAAATTAAAGTTTGGAAAATCCAAGAGATCTGATGACAGGTTGCTAAAAATATTCAATTAAGAAACCTTTGGTATAATCTTTTTCTGCAGTTTTCAAAGCCTGTTTTCTTTAAGTGGCATACAAACAGATATCCTGCTGAATGTATTTTTGGCCATTGCTGTGGACAACCTTGCTGATGCTGAGAGTTTAACATCTGCACAGAAAGAGGAGGAAGAAGAAAAAGAAAGGAAAAAGCTAGCTAGGTAAATCCATTTGAATACATCTATCTGCACACATTCCTGTAATTACACACAGCTGGATATACATGAATATGAAGCCTATACATACATGTGTGTATATGTAATATATATAATTTCTATATGTGTATAGATTATTTATGTGATTAATGTTATTCTATTTGGAGTTATGCATAGGAACTCCAACAAGAAAGTGTGAACTAGGAGACCCCCCAGTTGCAGTGGTGTGAGTAGAGGAAAGGAAGTCTGGGTTACTGATGAGCTTTCAGAGCACCAGCAGAGAATGAGTGTGAAATGGTGTCAATCCCATTTGAATCTCCCTACTATCTTCTCATTGCTTTAGGCCACGAGGCATATTTTCTGTCATTCCCACTATGAGATTTAGCAGCTTCTTTTTCTTTTGATGCCACATGCTGTTCTTCCCTTGCCAGTTCTTTTAGTGTTTCTGCAGACACTTAAGGGGCACAAGCTGGATGAGGAGCTTCTCTGTCATTCCCAGCTGCCAACAGCAGGGAAGCCTCTCCTTAGTGGTTATTCCTATTCACTGTCTTCCAGGCTGCTTGGAGGGGATCTCCTGTGCAGCTCTTTCTGCTTCATCCTGCATGCAGCTCAGCAGATTTCCCTCTCTCTGGGGAGAGCAGTGAGGGGCAAAACTTTTGTAGACAATCCAGTTGGAAGCTCACAAGATATGGGTTGAAAATGGTCCATGACTTTGTCATTGGGTGAACAAAGGGATCTCAGCTGACAGACCTGAAATATGCATTTTCACAAACACACACACAAACACATGCCATTGAGAAAGCTACAAAATAAGGGGCACTATATATAAAAATAGATCAGAGCCTCTGCCTTTGCCTGCAGATGAGGACAAGGTGGAGCCACTGGTATGGAAGCTGAGCTCAGAATGGGGATGCCAGCCAGCTGATTGTTCTCATGGTGTGTGCTGTACTACATGAAGTTCCTGAAAGGGAAGCAACTTTCCACCTTTGTAACTCTTCGTTTTTTATCTTGTAAAATTGATAGGACTGCTAGTCCCGAAAAGAAACAGGAGATGGAAAAAACAGCTGTGGAGGAAGAGACAAAGGAGGAGAAAATTGAGCTGAAATCGATCACTGCTGATGGAGAGTCCCCACCTGCTACCAAGGTAAGATCTACTGGCAGCCAGCACTCTCTGTGCAGGGATGGCATGAACAGCTTGGGTTTCTAAGGGAATGAAAACTGTCTGCCTTGTCTGATAAAAGCTTTGATGCTTCTCCTTCCATTTCTGTCAGATCAACGTGGATGATTATCAGCCCAATGAAAATGAAGAAAAGAGCCCTTATCCCACAACAGAAGCACCAGGTACACATCTCCTTCCTTGTATCCCTCACTCAACAAAGCTCCAGGTGCTAATGCACACAAAGCCAAATGGTGGCAGCAGGTCTGCTGGAAATGCTTTCATGATGGGACAGGATGGTGTCCTTGCACAGGTCTGCACGTGGCCCTTTGAAGTCCCTATACTGATCAGTCTGATTTGATTTGGTTCCCTTTAAAGCTCTTTATTGGAAAATACATAGCTTTACAGAGAATCAAATCATGTAAAAACCTGTTTGAAAATATATATATGACACTGTTTTCAGAGTGCTTTATCAGTACTCAGTGGTCAGGGGAGTCTCACAACAGAAAGTCATGAAAGGGAAAGTGCTGAATGCCTTTTTGCACTGTTTTCTAATCAAAAAGGACAACGTGACACAGCATAACTCTAAAGGCATAAGATCTCAGACTAGAGATGCAAGAAACAAGCTGTAGCATTAGTTAGGTTGGTTTTCAAGTCAGGTGGGCCTAATTAACTTCATTCTCAGATACTTGAAAAGATTGGTTGAGGAAATCTCAGAACCTGAAGAAGTGTTCAAGAGACCCCGAATGGGGGGGGGGGATTGGAGCTAGTCAGTTCAACTTCCATTCTTGGAAAAGTGCTGGAACAAAGGAATAAACTATATGACCACAAGATAAGGAGATGATCAGCAGCCAACACAGATTTGCCAAGAGCAAATCACATCAAGCCACCCTTATTCTCTTCTGAAAGGGGCTGAAAACACTTGTAGACAGGAGAAAATAATTAGATGTCATATTCTTTAACTTTGCTAAGCCTTCTGACCATCTCTTACAGTTCTCATATGCTTACTAGAAAAATATGGTCTAGATGATGGTGAAAGAAATGGTCAGACCCTTTATGGGGAGGGTAGTGATGGCCCAAGTGAGTTTGTACAACCCAAAAGCCTGTCTGGAGTTCAGCTCAGTTCATTGTTAATGACCTGAATGATGGAAGAGGCAATATGCTTATTACATTTGTAGATGACATGAAGCTAGGAAGGACAAGAAGCGTGCTGGAGGGCAGCATTAGAATTCAAAGAGCTCCTGAGGTCCTGGATAAATGGTCTAAATAAAATTGAAAGTGCCAGGCTCTACGCATAGACAGGAATAAACAATTCACAAATAAAGGATCTTGGGTGACAGCTAGTTAGGTAACAGTCCTTGAGAAAAGGATCTGAATCTTATGACCAAAGCTCAACAGATGTCAGCAACAGTTTGCTGTCTTTGAAATGCAAGTAATGAGATTTATAATACAAAGAATGAGCCTTTTGTCCAGTTATGAGTTTGTTTTAACTGGTCAATGGAAGCTAATCAGGGCAAAGCAATTGTTTTATTGTGTTTATCATTGATAAGATCTCTAGAATCTGGAATATCATGTCTCTTTTTGGGTGCTCTGGTTAAGAGAAGTGGGGCTGAATTAGGAGTATAGAAGAGAATGGTGAAAACAATGCTAGTAGGTAGCAAGCACTAAGATTGGATAAAATTTGCTCATTTGACTTAGGAAAGGCAGGGGAAACATCTTCAAATTCATAAAAAACCTTCTACAGATAGGAGGAGAATTATGTCCATTATGAAGCAACAGATTTAATAGGATTCACAGCAGAGAGAATTTTCTAATGGTGAGGCTGTAAAAGTTCACAGAGATGGTTGTGGAAGCCCAGCACCACTGAATGTTGTTAAGGACAAGTCAGAAAAATGTATCCCAGAAAAGGCTTAGATACAATAATTAATTGAACCTGGCTTGGCAGAGGCATGAACCAGAGGGCTTTTTGTGATCCTTCCCTGCTCTCCTCTTCTGTGTTTCTGTGATTATGTAACAGGCTATAACAGGCTACAGAACACTTTCTCTTCTATTTAGTGATTCCTAATAAATAAATGTCTGATAATATGTTGATTTGATAGGGTAAAAAAGAACACAAGAGTTCATTTTGAGTAAATGGACAAGAGCTTCAGACAAGCAAAATGGAAAACTGTTCATTGCATTTGATATTCAGAACAAGAAGTCCTCACATATGCTGTACTTGTATTCTTCCATATTTATAGCAAATTTATCAGGAGTAGAGTGTGGTTCTAACTTCGTGCAATACTATTTTAACACTGCCTGAGGCAGGTCACTCTGGATTTCATCTTTCCATCACCTCTGTAGAGCCAGGTACTTACTGGACACACATCCCCAGTTGCTACGGGGATTGTGGAGTCTTTAGTAAGAAGCACAAATTAAAACAGCTTGATACAGTTTTGTTTCTGTTTCTCAGCTGGTTTGGATTTGCAGAAAATTACATTTTTTTCAAGGGAAATAACAGTCATCTGAATGTCAGTTTTAAGTCTACTGCTAATAGAATTGGGATTTATTTACTTTCTGTAGACAGCTTAGAAAGAGTAGCTTACAAATGAGAAATAGAGCAAAACACCACATCTACTTCTTTTCTTTTTTCTTTTTTTTTCTTTTTGCCATGCATAGAATTAGAGTGCAGAAAATCAACTGAAAAGACTTTTAATGCCTGCCTCAGGGTGCCAATCCCTGTCTTAACATACTTTTCAACACAACTAAAATTCTAAAATGGATTATCAGGTCTTCTCCTGTCTCCTATTAGAAATGCAAAGGGACACCATCTTGCTCACTTGCCATTGTGTGGCCTCAATGCCATTTCTAACCAGACCTGTTCCCTGAATTATTATCAATTCTTTGTGAAGACTGAAGATTCGGTGCTCAGAAACCATTTGAACTGCTCACTTCATTTGTTTTTTCCAACAACATAGGTGCTTTCCTAACTTACCTTGCTCATTCTCTGATTTGTTTCTGCTCCTTAAACCAGTTTTCTCAATAGCCTCTCCTGATTTTGCTTGCTGCACAGTGCTGCTCCTCAGCCCCAGAATGGTTGCAGCTCCCCAGGTCACCTGGTCTCTTTTTTGGAAGGACAGACTAGTTCTCCCAGAGATTTGTGTACACTAGAAGGATTATTATGATGATATGTTTATTACAGGAGGACAGGGAGCTAGCCTTGCAGTCTAGTACAGAAATAGACAAAGAATTCGGAATGTCAGATGAAGGTAAAAGCTTGGGATGATTCATGGGAGCTTGAAGCAAAATAATGTCCTTATACGAGAGTTCTGGTCTTTGTACAGTAAAAAAAACCTCCACATCATCGAATTTCTCACTGATGTTGCACTGTAGCCTGTTTGTGCTTGTCTCCACAGCCAAAGAACATTTGCTTCTACAAATGTGAGCAGCTGTGCTGCTTCTATATGGAGGTAGATAGCGTGGACAGTGACCTGGGATGAGGCATAATCACATTATTCTTTGTGAATTTGGCCCTCAATGTTTCATTTCTTCTGTGCTCCAGACTCCAAGTGAAAAGTAGAACATTGCTCTTTATCTATGGCTGAGGAACTGAATGTGTTTTTCAGGCTGAAAGTATTTGGTTCCCAGAGTCATTAATTTATATTTCTTGCTGTATGGCAGACACGAGAAAAAGAGGAGAGGAACAATGTTCTTTATGGCCTTCATGGGGCTGATCCTTCTGCTGAGGGTCTATTTTTCCAGAGGCAATGCTCCATGCCCATTTAAAAGTGTATTTTAAGCATTCCTCTGAGTAATAAAAGAAGAATGATCTCACATTGAAGGCGCAGAGCAGGGACCCAGAATACTCTTCTTAAGTATAAGTTTCAAATATTCCACATGATCCCATTGGTTTTCTGGCCTGTTCAAGAAGAATTTGCTTACCTCACTCTTTGTCAGCCTCCTCTGAAGCCTGTAGATAAAAGGTACACGTGCAAAGTATGGTTATATACATAAACCTGCACATTAACCTTAACACCTATTTTACAGGTCCTCTGTAAAAAAGTACTTCTGAAAGATGTTTCTTTAACTAATAAAGCCTGTAGAAAGAGTATTATGAAGTATATTACACATAAAATGGAGCTGTTAAAAAATAGACTGACTTAAAAAGTACAAACTCTATGTACCAGCTCAAACATTTATGCAAAGATCTATCAAGCGAATTTGAGTTGAACTCTTGGTACTGGAAGTGTAAAGAAAGAATCCTATTTACATGTAATAATGGCATGCCTTCAAAAAGAGCACTTTTCTCCTCGCTCTGATATCTAGATCAGGATCTGTGCTGATTCATCTGTTCTTTCTGATGTGTCCTGTAACCAGATCAAGTACAGTATCTCACCCTAAAGGAACACCATTCCTGGAGCTTATCTCCCTTTATGGACTCAAGATGAACCTTTTAATTAGAGTATCCTCCTTTGCAGTGCCTGGAAGATGAATCAGTTGTATCTAACATGTCAAGCTCCTTTCTTAAAGATTTTTTTTTCCTGTCTTGCTGATTAAGTGAGAGGATTGAGATCTTTAAAACAACAAAATCCTATCATGACATTTACAAAACAACATCTGCCTTCAGCAGGTAGAAGAAGTCCTCAAAGGCAGAAGCTTCTCTTTCAGGTACCACTTAGCCTTCATCTCTGCATTTTCTATCTTGAGGGTGCTCACTGCTCTGCCTGGAATGACACAGGTTGAAGGGTCTCAGCCTCATTCCCATCTTTCTGACCTTCTCCCCCACTAAATTATAAAAGGGGACAATTTTAAGAATTTCTAATCAGTGTAAGTCAATGTGTTCAAGGGTCTCAGCCTCATTCCCATGTTTCTGACCTCTCCCCCACTAAATTATAAAAGGGGACAATTTTAAGAATTTCTAATCAGTGTAAGTCAATGTGCATGTGCTCACTGTTTATTCTGGGGCATACATGTGCTCATCCAGACACAGTTCCAGATGTAGCAGCAGCTCCATGGAGATGTTCACAAATAGAAGAAAAACAATCTTGATAGACTGGAGGACTGGTCAAAAGAAAAAAATATGCCCTTCAGTAAGGATGAGGTCTAAGTGCCACTTTTGGGAATAGTCAGCAGCAGAAATGCAGAGGGGGAAGTGACAGGACAGATTGCTGCTCTGTGGTAAATAATCTGTGCTTTGTGCATATCTGACACTGATGGCAAATTAATGCCAAAGTATAATGAAAAGTCTCCATGAAGGACATTTAACAGGAAGATAATATCACAAGATATAAGAAGTAATCTAGCTTTCCTCTGAAGCAGGGAAACCTCAACTGCAGGTTAATCCTGCAGACAATCTGGAAGCAAGTAGCAATAGTGATCAGAGACCTGGGGAACACAGCACCTCAGGAAAGCTGCTGCTGTTTTGCTCTAGGAATAAGATATTCTCCCAGAGGCACAATAGTGGTCCTCAAGTATGCAAAAGCTTTCTGCAAGAGGAAGGCGATTTTTAATTTTCTGTGTCCATGGAAAATAAGAAAACAAATAATAGATCTAGACCTCAGCAAGGAAGATTCAAATGAACCATTAGAAGACAAACCTTAGGAAAGCCATAGAAAGCAAACCTTTCTGTTTGTTTTTTTTTGCAGCAGGAACTGTGAGGCATCTGAGGAGAGTGTTGTGAGTGTTGTGAGAATGTAGGTTTACCAGCACTAATGGTTTTTCAGAGAGACGAAACCCATGTCTGCCAGGGTGAGCGCTGGGTAAAGGGCACCGCCTCGAAGGAAGGGCAAGGAAACTCAAGGCTTCAGCATCCTATTTTAATGGTTTTTAGCTCTAGTTATGACAGAGACAAATGCCTAATGTTGTAGGTTTACCAGCACTAATGGTTTTTCAGAGAGACGAGACCCATGTCTGCCAGGGTGAGCGCTGGGTAAAGGGCACCGCCTCAAAGGAAGGAAGGGCAAGGAAACTCAAGGCTTCAGCATCCTATTTTAATGGTTTTTAGCTCTAGTTATGACAGAGACAAATGCCTCAGCACTTTGGAATGGGTTGTGCTTTGCGATAAAAGACAAAAATGCTTCTTGCAGCAGAGGAAGATGAGGAAGAACCGGAGATGCCTGTTGGCCCTCGACCTCGCCCGATGTCTGAGCTGCACCTCAAGGAAAAGGCTGTGCCCATGCCTGATGCCAGTGCTTTCTTCATCTTCAGTCCTAGCAACAGGTACTTAAGAGATTGGTTAGCCAGGAGAAAGAGGTGAAGGGCTGGTACCCCTTTCATATTGGGCCCCAAAAGTTGTGAGGTGCAGAGCTCCCTCTCAGCAGTTCACACCATAGATCTCCTTTGACCCACCTCTCCTTTAAGGCATGAAATCCTATGAAACCACAACTGTGGGGAGTACAGTGAAAATATAAAATGGGAGTTCATTGCACGTGCAAGGCTGATTGAAGACACAAATCATGAAAGCTTCAGAAATAAGGGACACAGAGGCGAGTCAGTAATTGGAATTTCCTGACACATTCAGGTCCAAACTGCAGGAGAGCCATCATGCAATCAATCAAGTGGGACATAGCAGCTTCCTGTCCTAAGGGCTGCCCAAAATCCACTCCCAGCAGGGAGTTCATGTGTCTCTGCCCATTGCTGCACATCAAGAATGAGGCTGAAGGAAGAAATGAGAGGGGGAGGAGAGCCCATAGCTCTGAGAGGAGCCTAGGGAGCACAGTTCTCTCCACTTCACCCATGGGCTCCTGCAGTGCAGCCTCATGTTGTCACTCCTGCCATTCCAAAAGAGATGTGCAGGACCTGTGGGTGGAGGGCTGTTAGGACAGGTGAGTTTATCTTTGCAAGGGTGCAGCAGTGAGCTCACTGCCCAATGGTCTGTGCAGCACCATGTATTCCAGAGTCCCTCCTAAGGACTCAGCCTTCAAACACAGCCCCAGAGGAAGGCAGGGCTGTTCCTGCACCGCTGAATTCAGAGCCATTTTTGTTCCAGCAGAGCTTGTGCCACTCCTCCTTGGGTATGTGTAACAGGGAGGAACTGAGGATGACTGGGGCCCATGGACTGTAATGCTAGCTTTGCCACCCACCCCCTGTCATTTGGAGAACTAAATTAACCTCTGCAGTCAACTGTAAAATTGCTGTAATAGGGACTTGGAGCCCTAACAGCCAAGAGTAGAGCTAAATAAATTAATGAAGTGCCTGTAGAATTATGCACACAGCTATTATGGGGTTTAACTCCTCACATCCTGCTACCAACACATGGAAAATGGTCTCCAGTTAGCAAGTTTGTTGGGAGACTGCTCCTTCTTTACCTTCTAGTTTCCCACTAAAAGCACCAAGTGGGCCTATATTTAACATACAACCTGCATGGCATGATGTCTCTCAGAAGTCTTTTGCTGCCCTATATCCATTTGGCCTGGCCTGTTCTCTGTTAGCAAGGTAGATCCCCCCCAGCTCCTGTTAAGTGACACTCCAGTCCCAGCTCAGAAAGACATTGGCACCCTAAAGCCCTTTTCTGCTGCCTTCTTGCTGAATGAATCAGGAATGGTTCCATAAATGAAAGCAAGGGATATGATTCTGGGCTGGCAGGTTTCAGGCCACATGGAAATCACAAAAAGCTCTGTCAGGAGGGAGGGATTGTTCTCCATTCAAACACATGGAGTGTGAGTCCTGTGTGGAGACCCAGCATTACCCTGCACACGTTGTCCCTGTGCTGGGGCAGAGGGAAGATACTCTGCAGGGCAATCCTCCAGTTCTGCTGGCAGAAGAGGAGGGGGGAAATGTTTCCCAGGTCTTGCCGTTCTTTGAGAGATAAAGTTGTGCCTCTCCTCTCCTCTCTCTTGCAGGTTTCGTGTCCACTGCCATCGAATCGTTAATGATAACATTTTCACCAACCTGATCCTATTTTTCATCTTGCTCAGCAGCATCTCCCTGGCAGCTGAGGACCCCGTGCGACACCTCTCCTTTAGGAACCAAGTATGCTGCACATCCTCCTTCCCTCACTGGCCATTGCAACTGTGCTACAAGCAGATCATGATTTGAAAGGCAGAAAAGGCTGCATCAGAGGCTTGGGAGCGCCTGCCTCCCATGATTTCTGCCTTTTGTAGGCTGTGTGTGAAATCATTAGGTTTTGCAGGAAACATGAGTCAGTGCAGAATCTGGCCTCTGGTTCACTTCAGAAGTGTGTGTAGGGAAAGGAAGAACAGGAGGCTGAAGCAAAATTATTGTTCCCTGGGATTGAAGTACTAGAAATGAGCTGTAAAAACATTGACTGGGGACACAAATAATTCAATTTTGAGGGATTTTCAGGTTCCCTTTGGAATAGTTGTTCTGCTGCCACATGCTGTCTTTTAAACTAAAAAGCCTAGGGCCTGATTTTCATTTTATTCACACTGCTGTAAATCAGGAGTAACATTCTTGAGTTTGATGCTGTCACTCTGGGGGAAATTGATGTCATCATGGTTAGAATCAGACTTTTTGAACACAAGCCACAAAGCTATCATTAAATTTGAGATAACCCTCAAAAAATATGCTGTGCTCCTCTCCTTACCTGCCTGGGGAGAGAAGAGGAAAGCATTCAGCACAGAGATACATTCTCACCCTCTTTCCTGACCATTCTTGTTTGCCTTTTGAAATGTTCAGTGCTCCTTTAACTTTGCCAGTGCTTGTTTCCATTAGTCAGGGGTTACTTCAGAAGTGAGGGGTCAGCAGACATATGCAAGACCTCTGATTTTTGGTGTCTGCAGTGGCATTTTGGTGCCTCGATGCCTGGAGAGTTTGCTAGGATTGAAGAGTGGGACTTTTTTTTCTTGTTTAATAATCCAACCTTAATTTAATGCTCCCTGAAATATCCTGGCCTGAGCATGCATTTGAACACATATGTGCATGCAGAGAAGGTGTTAATGGAAGTCTATTCCTGAGCATATCTCAGAGTGGCTTTGCATTTTGTCCTGAAGGAGGATGCTAAGTAATCCAACCTGTGCCACCAACTACCCACTTGTGCACAAATGAGGGTGCACACCATGTAGGGATAACTGAATGCCAATATATATTAGTGCTGCAGCATGTCAGCTGGCAGATGGGCTCCTGACATGCCACAGAAACTGTTACAGAGTCTGTAGCAGAGAGATTTAAATGAGATGGAAAAAAAAAAGAGTCAGAGCTGGTTGTCCTGGATTAAAGAGCTGAAGGTTTGAGGCAAGGCGTTGTTTTGTGTATGTGAAGCCACTGGTGTTGCATGAAAATCTGTGTTTCACTTTTGCAGGTACAGATGTTTAAAATGTACCATGAAAGGGGACACTGACAAGATGTTTGGGTTGCAAACGTGACCTGCCTTTGCACTGTGCCAGTAGAACAGTGAGATCCTGTCCTGCCCTGTGCCCACACGGAGGCCTGGGAGGAAAAGGAAGAAAGCAAGCTGAAATCAAGCTGAAAGCAAAGCTGCCTCTGCCTTCACTCAGCATGAGCTGTGCTCCAGGACCTGTGCAGGCTGGGGATGCTGCTGGCACAGACCAACCCAGAGCAGGAAGACAGGGACAGAGAGCCTGGAAAGAGCTAATGGAGAGGCTTGGCTCTGCTCTTTCCTGGGCCAGGCTGTGTCCTTTTGTGTCACACAGGGCTCAGGCAGAGAGTGCTTGGAAGTGCCAGCCCAGACTGACCAAACAGCCCTTGAAGCCCAAGCAAGTGCTAAGGCTGTGCTCACCATATTCTCCTGATAGCACCTTGGCAAGGTGCTCATTGTTTTTAATTTGTTCTAAAGCAAGTTCATCTTTAGATAATAACAAATATGCCAGCTGATAAATGGGACTGCCTGCACATGTGGGGCAGTGAACATTTTCATTAGGCATGATTTCATCTTTGCTGGCTGCACCTTTGGGGCCACATTCACCAGTGTGTTCTAGATCCTTTGCAGACCCCTGTTGAGGTAAAGCAGCAACAGGTACAGCTTAATCGTTCACTTTAATCAAGTTTGCACCTTCTTTATGTTGGTGGAGCCATGCAAAGCAGTTAGAGAGTGAATGAATCTGGACCATTGATTATAAAATTTTTCCATTGATAAAATAATCAGATGTCAGGACTTACAAAGCAGCAAGGCAAAAGGATATTTCCAGTTGTAATGTATGTGAATTAATATAGGTTAAAATCATGATCTCTCCCTTTGAAGTGGCCCTTTCTTAATTCTCTAAGCTGCAAAAATTGATAGAGCCCAACACAGCCTTGAGAAGAATTTGGGATTAAAAATTCAGCAGTGACCTGAAGAATTTTGAGTTCTATGGTAGCAGTAAGTGATACATCCCCCTCATTTGACACGCAGTGTCTGCAACTCAATCCAGATTTGGATTGTGCTTAAATAATGCAATGTGAAATAACCCTGGAATTGGCAGTAGCTGCCCCTCTGCATACCAACCTGTAAGAATTTAGCCATCTATAAATCTGAGTGAGGATACAGGCACTGAGATACAATAAACCCCTGTGGGGTGGGAGCAGGCAGTTTCCTAGTTTATGTTTATTAGTCTTTTAGCAGCAAAGGTCTAAATTTCACAAATTATCAGTTGTCTACAGCTTCCATATATTGGCCTTCTGGTTTAAGACATGATTATGGTAAAACCACAGTAAACCATGGGCATGATACTTCTGATATTCAACATTTGTAGTGTAGGTAGCACTAAAGAGAATTGAGATGTTAAAATATACTAGAAACAAAGAGAGTTCAATCCTGGTCCCATAAATCAGTGAGAAAGTTCCCATTTACTGTGGGATGCCAAAATATTGGCAGTGAAGGACATTCCTGTCCTTGATGCTGCTACTTTGAAAGCCCCTTTACACTTCTAGATTTCTCACTGCCTCCTGTGACACCACTTTTTGTGGTCTGCTGTGAATGCCAGGGGTTTCTCCCTCACCAGCCCTAGGTTCCTGGGAATGATGAGCATTTCAGCTGGCTGGTTATTCAGGATGCAAATAGAAAGATGCAGGATCCAAGTTAGGCACCTTTAGCAAATGACCAAATTATGGTTGCAACACAAGGGCTGGGATTCTGTTCAATTGGCAGAGTCTTTGTTATTCATCCTAATCCAGAGCAATTCAGAACAGAGAAAAGAAATAGCTAGAGTATGATTTTGCAGTTTGCTTTCCTTCCTTTGAGAAAGGCACAGGACAAGACTGAATGGAAGTTAATAAGAAGGATTCTCTCATGCTTCCACTGAGAGACCAGGCATTCTTTGTATTCTCAGTTTGGAATGTTATTTGGGAAAACCCTTGAATGTTCTTTATGAGATTTAAAAAAAAAAATCCTACAGCAACCAAAAAGTTATTTTGCCTCTATAGTGCTCATGGGATTGTAACTCAGGAAAGATTTCATGTGATGTGCTTCTTGTCCTCTGTGCCAGGACCTTCACTGCATTCACCAGGACGTTGTTCCAAAACCATTCCCTATAGAGCTGTCCTCATTCCCTTGTGAAAAGAACTCGTGTATTTGATTTTAACTGTGATTTCCCACTCAAGTGACCAGTCACTGACCTACCCTCCCCACTCCTATCCCCTTTTGTTTTTACAGATTCTCTTTTATTTTGATATAGTTTTTACTGTCATTTTCACCATTGAAATTGCTCTGAAGGTAAAGTGCCCATCTTCTCTACCATTAATTGTTCACAAGCTTTCTAGTTTTCTGCCAGTCTCTGTTGCTAACACACACGCCTGTTTGTTCCTGGGTCACGCTCAGTACCACTAACCCAACTGTGCTTATTTTTCAGATCCTAGGCAATGCAGACTATGTCTTCACTAGTATCTTTACATTAGAAATTATTCTTAAGGTAACCAATCTGAGAAATACCCTTGTTTTCTTCTTTTCTTTCTCTTTCTTTCTCTCTCTTTTTTTTTTCTTTTCTTTTTTAACCCCGTTATTAACTCTACACAAAGGGTTGTTTTTCTTTTCATTTGACATTTCTGTAGTTGCTTTAAAATTCTCCTGGGAAATTTTGATATTCAAACTTGTACTTGAGGGCCTATAGCAAAATAATGCTTTTTAGGTTAATTGCAATGAAAGGGTGCAATGTTGGGAAATGTAAGAGAGGACAAACAAAAAGGCTATCCCCTGATAAATTTGTCCCTCTACCCTAGCCAGTCTTTCCAAACCACGATTTTTCTGCTCTGCAAGAAACTGAATGCACACACCTCTCATACAGGCTACACCCAAAAAGAAGGTCTCTATTCTGCAGAAACCAGCCCAAAGGGTGGCTGATGGCTCCTATGAGCACAGCGAAGTAGGAGGCAGGGAGCACAGTGCAAAACCTCACTTTTTAGGTGTAGAGAGAGAACCCAGAGTACAAATCCCTAAGGCACCAAGGACAGTGGCTGCCAATGAAAATTGCTGCATCAAAACCCAGCTTCCCATTTCCCAGGAACGTGCTCTATACCAAGGGGAATGAGCAGGAGAATGCTTTAGCTTGGAAGAAAATAAAAATAGGCTGCCTTGTTCTTAACTCTAATTTTCCCAAATTGGTAGGCTAATAATTTAAATAACAGTAATTGAGCAAAGTTCTGGCTTTCTAAATGCTAGGTTCACTTGGCAGCTGGGTTTTTTTTTCCTCAGCAAGCTTAGTCCTAAGTGCTGGCAGGCAGTGCCTTGGAGTTGCTCAAATTTTCAGCTCAAGACCCTAATAACAGTATCTATATGGAAGGCTGGCAAGCAGGGTGGCCCCTGCATATTTTTATAGAGAAACGTGCTTTTTATGATATGACTTAAAATTACCAAAGCCGTAATGTTCTCCAGGGAGATGTACACATTATGCCTGTGTGCAGTTTGCATCTGTGTTTACACAATAAATCTGAATGTGCACAGATCACATGGCAGATCCAAAAGGCCTGTCAAGAAAAGGAAAATATCCCAACAGCAACGTTTAAAAATGAAATGATAGCTAAAGGTTACCTGTTGGGACTCACAATTACTAATTCTGGTTGCTCTGAAGGAAGTGGTAACACTCTTAATAACTTCAGTGGAAGAAGAACTTAACCCAGCCTGGGCCTTCCCAAGGTCCTTCTGTTAACTTCAGTGATTTATGACAACATCCCTGGATATTCTCTAAGTTCAAGTGGGAGAGTAGTGCAAGGACCATAAGTTTAAGTCACTAAGAGCTTGGTGTCTCAGTGCACGTTTCTCTGCTGCCTTCACTGAGCACATTGTTTTGCAAAACAGCAAAGTTAATGTGGGTGGTGAAAACAAAAGAATGAATGGCCATGGGATGTTCAAGGCTGTAGAGAAACAAGCTTCATCTGCCCCCATGGTGCTTGTAAAAACACCTGCATTCTGGTGGATGCTGGCAAGGTGACTGCCAAGGATTTTTAACTGGCATCCTAAAAGGCTGTAAGTTGTTTTATGCCCCAGGTGGGAGGCAGATGTAGATTACACACTCCCTGAGAGTCTCTTCTGAGATGACAAAACCCCTCAATAGTCTTGAGAGAGCCACAATTTGTACTGAACTTCAACTCAGCAGAGCTTCCCCTCCTGATTTCAATGGTGTCTTTCTTTCAAGATTGCCATACAAAATCTAACCAGTAAAGGGCATCTTTACCACCTTTGTTATGGCAAGAACCCCTCCTCCCTTCCCCAACTGAATGTGTCTACAAGTATAAATTCTAAGCCAAGACCAGAGTTTATACTTCCTCCCCCTCTAATTTCTGTCTGATTGATAGTCAGTTCCCTGATGTCATGGGTGTTTGGTGAAGAAAATAATCCAATATACCATGTGCCCTTCCAACTTGCTCTGAATAAAGTTGTCACAGGCTGGAAATTTCCAGCCAATGCACCATCCTGAGCTACTGGTGGGAGCCAGAAAACTCCAGTTTGACTTTCCAGTTCACGCTTCTCAGCTGGAGTCTGGCTACAGCTCAGTCTCATGGTGTCCAACTCAGATTACTTTAGACACCTAACTTAGATGAGATTCAGAGGACCAAACTTAGAAGCCTGTATTCCTGAATGGGAATGAGAATTCCTCATGAAGGAACACTAGCAGTTGTGGGGATGGGGTTTCTTCAAAGCAGCTACATTAGATCACTCACCAAATCTAAGGTAGGTGGTACAAATACCCCCTCAGCTCACCCTGTTTAACTGGGCCAGGCTCATTTTGTCACATTGGGTAAGAGAACTCTGTGTACACTGTCACTCAGTCCAGCTCTGGAGCTGTGACATCCTTCTCAAAGCCAGCAGGTTTTTCAATGCCCCCCACCACACCCAGGCAGGGCAGAGCCTCCCTTACAAAATATGTAACTATTTTCCCTCCCTCTGCCCAGTGATGTTAATAATGATTAGCCCCACAAAGTAACTACCCTGTTTCAAGGAGTACAGTCTGGGCTTTATAAGGGAAACTAAAGGGAAAATGCAACTGAGTAAAAATTAATAGGAAAAGGGATGTGAGATTGAGTTGAACAGAAGGACCAAGCTGAAGGGAGAAGTAATTTATCCTGTTGTTTCAGTTCAGCTCTAAAGCATCTTATCCCTGAGGTATTCTGTTCTTCCTTCATGAAGGGAAGAGCAGTCAACTGTCCACTGCAGCTGGTCTAAGTACTGAAAAGCATTACAGAAGAGCCCATTTTATTTTGCATTTTCTATTCAATTTTGCTAGAGAGGCCTTTATATAATACAAATATCCTCTGTCACTGAAGAAAAAGGGAAAAGCATATTATTGCAAAGAGTAGTTTTTGCAAACAGTCATTCTGCTGCTTTGCTAATTCTAATTGTTATGCACTCTGTGCACTTGAAGTGCATATTTTCCTCGCTTTCTTTAGTTAGGTCTTTCAAGTTATCTTGCTGTCTTTTTCACTCTCTTTCCTTTCCACTGGGGCTCAACTTCTCCTTGGGGGTCTGGGGGTAAATTGCCAACAATAGAAACACTGCCCCCTCCCCAGTTATCCACTCTGAGCACAGCCAGGTGGGTTTGGCTCCCGAGCAGCTGCTGATGGCAAAGTGTGTTTGTGTCTCCGCATGCAGATGACCGCCTACGGGGCTTTCCTCCACAAGGGCTCCTTCTGCAGGAACTATTTCAACATCTTAGACCTGCTGGTGGTCAGCGTTTCTCTCATCTCCTTCGGGATCCAGTGAGTGAGCTATTTCCAGCTGGATAGTTTTGGAGGGGGGGTTCTAGGGCTGGGCTGGGAGGGTGGCTCAGGCTCATTGTTTTAACTGGGTAAGATTTTTCTCATGTGCCTGTTGGGATATTCATGAGGTGTTTTTCTCACCTCATGGGTCAAGGCCATTAAAATTCATCCTCAAGAGAGGAGGTAGTAACTGGAAAATGCTACTCTGGTGATCTGGAAGGGGGAATCTTTCAGAAAGCAACAAAAATGAGAACAAAAAATAGGTGTATTGGGAATCATGACATTTAGCTTTGTTCCAAAACCTCCATTTCACCATTTCACTCTGTCAGTTCAGGACAGTTCAGTGACTTATGGTTCCCTCCTAGACTTTTCATAACCTCTTCGTAAAATGAGGTTGATAATGTTTTCCTACTTCCTAAGATGATTTGAGTCTTACTCAATGGAAGGCCATCAAGCACTTGAAGAGTTTTTTGATACTCTTCAGAGTGGTAGTGACTGTTCTGCCATGCTGTTTTCCTTAAATTTGTTTGTTAATTTACTTGGCAATTTATAGATTTACTCGACTATGTGTCGGGTAGGAAGTTCCCTATTTTCATAGTTTCATATCTGGTAAGAAACAGGCTCCCAGCTGTTACCATCATAGGTTAGCAGCTCATGTAAGTTGCTCACTAAGTCAAGTAGAACAATTTGTAGGGTCCATTGGGCTTTCAGTCACAGTCTTAAGAATGGCACAGTTCTTGTTTTGACCTGCTGTTTCTTTCTTACAGAGCTAAGCCAGATTCTTGGTGTGTTAACATTAAAACTGTTCCCAAAATCAGTAGGAGAACATGATGTCATTGAGCATGAGGAAGATTCTCAGTCAGGGTTTTAGTCTTGGAAGGCGCAGAGAGCTCTGCTGCAGAAGATAGTTGTGTTCAGTACTTAAAGTGGGCACATAAGTCATCCTAATCAATTCAGTGGGAGTTTTGACATCCTTAAATTTGTGTACACACTTAAATGGTTTGTAGGTTCAGGGGCCAGACACACTGTAGGATCAAACTCCAGGTGGATAGTCTACCTTTAATGCTGGAGTGTCCTGGACTTTTCACTCTTATATGAATATTTTAGTGGAGTACTTTATGAGCCTTATCTGAAAATGCCTTGTTAATGACTACATCTTGGCACAATTTCTGTATCATAGATATCTACAGAATTTGTTTGCCCTGCTCTAAAAATACACCTTGCCCATGTTCCATTGCCCCTCCGTTAATACAGCAGAGATTATGAAATCCAGAACAAGAAGCCAGACCTCTGAAAAAAACATCAGAAACTGGTTTCCTTACCCCTGTAGTGCCATGGCAGAGCTGAATAAATACCTTATGCAGTCTTAGGCTGTGCAGAATTTCAAAGGTCTTTCCTTGCTGCACACTGCCCACATTGCTGTATCTCTCAAACCTTCCAATACTTTCTTCCAGGTCCAGTGCCATTAATGTGGTGAAGATCCTGCGTGTTCTGCGGGTCCTTAGGCCACTGAGGGCCATCAACAGAGCCAAAGGACTAAAGGTTAGAAAAGTCACTGTGCATTCTGTGAACTATAAATTCAGGTTATTTCAGGCTACAAGGGCTTTGGCTGTGGTTGAAGTAAAGTTTCAGCAGAATCACAGTATGCTTGAGGTTGGAAGGGACCTGCTCAAGCAGGGCCACTGAGATCAGGTTGCCCAGGCTTTAGAGTGCCTCCAAGGAGAGAAACTCCACAGCCTCTCTGGATGACCTGTTCCAGTGCTCAGTCACCCTGACAGCAGAAGTGTTTCTCAATGTTCAAATAAACCTACTCTGTTTCAGTTTGTGCCCCTTGTCCTGTCAGTGGGAACCACTGAGAAGAGCCTGGCTCTGTCTCCTCTGTATCCTCCCTTCAGCCTTTAATACACATTGACCTGATTCCCCTGAGCGTCCTCTCAGATGAACAGACCCAGCTCTCTCAGCTTTTTCTCATGGGAGAGATGCTCCAATTCCTTGTGGCTCTTTGCTGGACTGGACTTCCTCCAGTATGTCCACAGCTCTCCTGTACTGAGGAGCCAGAGCTAGACCCAGTACAATGGGCATAGTCTCACCAGTGCTGAGTAAAGGGGAGGACTCACCTCCTTCAACTTGTTAAAATCCTGCCTAATGCAGCCCAGGAAAGTGCTTGCCATCTTTCTAGTGAAGGCTCATATTCAACTTTGTGTCCACCAGGATTGCCAGCTCCTTTTCTGACAAGCTACTTTTCAGCTGAATGGCCTCATCAGCACTGAAGTGAAATGATGTGGTTTTCTGGGGTTACAGATGGGCCCACAATGCCAAGCATAACCTTTCTGTATTAGATGAACTCCTTCCTAAGTGCTGGTGGGCACCCAACTATGCAGGAAGTTTCAGAGAGCTGAGTTCTGGTATTTCCTACTCCCTTCTTCATGCTTCTAAAAGTACAGCAAGGAATGAAATAAGCTGGTCCACTTTCCTGAGATATTACTTGGGTAATGGGTACTGCTTAAATAATTTTTTCTTGTTATTTTTATTCTTGGGCTTCTCCCTTAGCCAGAGCAGTTGAGAACAATCCCACAAGTGACTTTTGTTCCTCTCTGCCATTGCAGCACGTGGTCCAGTGTGTGTTTGTCGCCATCCGAACCATCGGGAACATTGTGATTGTCACCACTTTGCTGCAGTTCATGTTTGCCTGCATTGGAGTTCAGCTGTTTAAGGTAAAACCATTGGACCCATTCATTCATCCATGATATTGAGCTGTATTTAGGGGTGGGGAGAAAAACAGCATAAAAAGCCTGAGGAAGGGAAAATGGGGTCTTTTGTGCGTAACAGGTAAGACATTTGGGGCACTGTCAGTGTTACCTGGGCTTCTGCTGCCAGCAGTTCTCCAAAACTGAGTCAGGCATATGCGGATCTTTTGCCCATCATCTGTGATCAGAAGTAATGATCAGTAATGTTGTTCTTCCCTAAGCAGCTTTACATTGGCATGACATGGTCCTGGGAAGGTGAAGGGGGCTGCTCAGAAGGATTGGTCCTTGCAGGCTCTCTGCCTCCCATCTTGCAGAGAAAGGACCATGGGGGGTTGTTAATTCCCTTCTTTATGTCAGCTTTTATCTCCTTGCCTTCCACCACCCTCCTGACAAATGTTGAGGACATAAACAAGCAAAAGCTTCATTCCTCTTTCTTCCTTTGCTAGGGCAAGCTGTACAGCTGCACTGACAGCTCCAAGCAGACAGAAGCAGAATGCAGGTGGGTCTGAGCTTTTCCAATCCCTCCCCTTGGCCGCCCGCCCGCAGCGCCTGGCGTTGCAGGTGTGCCACGTTGTGTGTGCACTCTCCACCCACAGAGGGTACTACATCACCTACAAGGATGGGGAGGTCAGCCAGCCCATGATACAGCCCCGGAGCTGGGAGAACAGCAAGTTCGACTTCGACAACGTCCTGACGGCCATGATGGCCCTCTTCACCGTCTCGACCTTTGAGGGCTGGCCAGAGTGAGTGTTTCTGGGACCAGTGCAACACTAGCAATGTCCTCATTCATTTCAAAAGAGAAAATTCAAAGGCAGAGCATAGTCTTTCCCTTTCTAAGAATTTAAATAAGTCCAGAGCTTTAAATATAGCAATAGTAGCACTGTAGCATTATGTACTTTGTAAATTCCTCAGAGCCTGCAGGGATTTATGTTACTGTACTTGGAAACAGTGTAAAGCACTGTCTCTAGTTCTTAAAAGATTATTTCCATTAGTAGTAGTGATACCAGTATTTGTTACCATTATTATGTGTATAAATGAATGTAAAATGCATATCAGGTCCTTTCCAGCATTGCCAGGTTTCAGTCTCCCCGTGGAGCCAGCAGGGTAATATGAAACACTGCCTCTGCAGTGCTGGCACACATGGGGTGTCTTCCAGGCCCTGCTGTCTGTGCCACTGGAGCTGGGGACTCCCACAGAGTCACTCAGGGTGACGTGGACAATCAGGGGGCTGACCCTGACCTGTGTCACCAGGTGATGCCAACGGCAGTCTTAACAACTGTTGACTCCTGGGATCCCCTTTTCTCACAAAACTCAATTCCCAACAACCTTGTTGAGACTCTCCTGTCTTTTGTTAACTGAAGAGCATGGTTTTGTTCAACTATGAAGACATTTCACCCCTGAACAGGTTCAAATGTAGAATTAGTAAGAGCCAGGTCATCTCCTTTGCAAGCTTTGCACTCAGATCAGTGCAAGTCTGCACATCTCTGAGTGAATTCATTTTTATACAAGGAGAAGAAAATCACAAAGTTAAACTTTATAACATCACCTATAAGGCCTCAAGGCAGTTGCAGATTTTCTCTGCATTTGGCTCCTGTTTGCTTTCAGGTTGCTGTATAGGTCCATTGATTCCCACATGGAGGATGTGGGACCCATCTATAATCACAGGGTTGAGATCTCCATCTTCTTTATTATCTACATCATCATCATTGCTTTCTTCATGATGAACATCTTCGTTGGTTTCGTCATCGTCACATTTCAGGAACAAGGAGAACAAGAATACAAGAACTGTGAGCTGGACAAAAACCAGGTAATTTACAACACCCTGCTGTCAACAAAGGCAGAAAATGCATTGAGAATAAGCTTTTAATAGATACAGAGAGGAAAATGTTAAGCTTGTCAACAAATGCACACAGAGAGGAAAATGTTAAGCTTGCCAGCAAGATAAAACTGTAAGCTGGCTTTGCTGGCATCTTTTAGGAGTCAGGTAGGGAAAAAAATATTGCTGTTAGATTTGTTCAAGGGACAACAATTACTTAAAAATGTTTGCTGTGCCATTTGTTTTGCTGAGATTAGATGAGCACAACAACAGCGACTGGCCAAAGTAAATGGCCACAGTAATTGCATGTAGAACCCTTTAACAGGTAGAATGTGCACATTCACATTGTGACCTAATAGAAATTCTTCTACTAAGCTTTTTCATTTCAGAAAAAAACTTTAAAGATATTGCATTTTTAATTACATTTGAAAGTAGCTGACCGCCCTGATGTTTTGGGCTTGAGTTTTAAATGTACCCTGCCTCTCCCACAGCGCCAGTGTGTAGAGTATGCCCTGAAAGCCCGGCCCCTGCGGAGATACATCCCTAAAAACCAGTACCAGTACAAAGTTTGGTATGTGGTCAACTCCACCTATTTTGAATACCTGATGTTCGTTCTGATCCTGCTGAACACCATCTGCCTGGCCATGCAAGTAAGTGAGCAAGCAGAAAACCTCCAGGTGATGAAGTAGTAGACTTTGCTGGGGGAGTTGCAAAAATGGTTGAGTGTACCCTGTTCACTTCTTTTGACGTGTAATTGAAATGAGAAATCTAACTCTCATCCTCTTCCTGCTAATATCTGACACTTTCAAAAATTCTGGCTCCTTAAAAACAAATTTCTCATTTCTAAACAGAGTCCTGCAAGTACTAGAGCTTTTCAAGAAAAATGTTGAAAATGTCTCTACGCTGTATTTTTCTCAGCCTTGCATTCAGCTGCAGCTGAATTGTTTTAATTTAAACTGCTTTGAATAAATCACCCTGTGCCAATACAGATCATGAAAATCCATCCCAGCTCTTCGAAGTTTATTAAAGATAAGCAACTACAAAAGGGGTCTTGGAAGGTGACCTTAGAATAAGACAGTGCAATCAGTTCAAGTATCATGATCTGGAAATAGGGGTATAAAAAGTGAGGTGGCAACACTTGCAGAAGACACTGCTTGAATTAATCAATAGAAGATGGAGAGTAACTTCATAAGATCGTAATAAAGTTAAGTGAATGAACAATGAACAACATGATTGCAAATTTAATTAAGAGTGGACAAATGCAAGATAATGCATATTAGAAAGATTCTATTTGAGCTGCTTATGTACTTTGTAGAGTCCTGAATTTAGTGTAATTACTTGGGGAAAGGCTTGGTATCATTATGGACAGCTCAGTGAAACCCTTGCAGTCACACAAGTAATCCGAGTGTGAGGGAAGGCTGAGAAAAAACACACTTGAAGATTGTAATGCAACATGGTGCAAATTTATAATGATCCCTGAACTGCAATAACTATGATTTTGGTAGCCACTCCTCAAAAAGATTCTTCTAAAAAGAGGAGATCAAGAGCCAGGTGGCAAAAATGGATAGAGGCGTTATGAGTGCTTACGTATGAAGGGAAATGGGAATTCTTAATTGAAAAAAAGAAACATGCTGGGGTCTTCCTTAGAGAACCTTGGCATGAAGGAAGACAGGGAGGGGTCCTGTGTATTCCTGACTGCTGGCACATCCTATCCTCACACTCCTGCTGGGATGCTGTTTTTCAGCACTATGGTCAGAGCTGCATGTTCAAGGAAGCCATGAACATCCTCAACATGCTCTTCACTGGCCTCTTCACTGTGGAGATGGTCCTGAAATTAATCGCCTTCAAACCCAAGGTAGGTGCACGAGGAGTAGATTTCCCTGGCCTCTGTGTGTGTGTGCATGTGTGCGGGGCAGCTGTGAGGAGAAGGAGGAGGTGAACCTTTCTGGTCTATTACCCCACCAAGAACTGAGCTGGACAGTTGCTCTCTGGATTGGAGTCTCACTTATATTTAATAACATTTTTGCTGAAGAGTAGACACACTTAAAAAAAAAAAAAAGTAAAAAAGGCAACACCTGCTAATAGAGATGGTTCCTAGTTTTCATTTAGTTATCACAGTGACACTCTGCTAAGGCTGTAACATGTCTTCCATTCTGAATGTTATTCTAATGCTCTCTCTCTGACTTTCCTTATATAATTTAAAAATAGCATCTCATGATTAGTCTCCTGACCCAAGTGAAGTTAATCAAGCATGACTCATTTTGAGTTATGAGCTTTGGAAAAAAATGTTTCTTCTGGGAGGGCTACATCTCAGTGATGGTTTGGATTGCTCTGGTTTTGAATTTAAGACTTCATTGATAATATTCATCACCCCAGCAGGTCCTGTCTGAAAGCATTGTCCTGTGCATTGGGCCATGGTATTATGCTAGTTTAGCTGCACTATAGGGTATGGTTAGAACCTCCAAGCTCTTCCAGTTAAGATCTCACAGCAGCTGCAGGACAAGGACAAAGATCCTGACCTCACAGAATTACCCAAGGCTTTCTTCTGTGGGGTTTAAATTCAGTGATGTGTCATAAAAAGTTGAATCCAGATACCTAAATGTAGGTCACTCATGTCACTTCATATCTTCAGTGGTACCTTGACACATGGAGTTGTGTCTTGAAGGATGCTTTGAAACACTGGAGAGATGGTCAAGGTGGTCTGTAAAGCATCAGCTATGAACTGGTAAAAATGAGAACATTTATGTCTGGCACTCATGCTTGTCCTTCATGTTAAAGTTAGGGGATGACTAAATTTAGCTCCTCCCAGGTGTAATCTAACATCTTCCTCATCCTCGCTTCAGAAACTTTGCTCTCCATTCCTACTGAATTTAGCCTTATTTTTTTCTTTTCAATTCCATGGTGACTTTATTCCCACCCAGCTTCTCACTTTCTAGGACTTATTCTTGTAATAGTCACAATTTTATTTTTCACCCAAGCCCAATATCACTATGCTATCTTGGATATAGTTCTCTTGGAAGTCAGGAGCATCTTGGCAGTCCTGCTGAAGACTGAGGTTTGGAGGGTTTTTTGTGAGATCTCAAACACTATCTTGGGAAATTTAAAAGCATCATTATCTGTTCCAGCAGAGATTTTAATTTTCAGGAGAGATCTACCTTTGATTTTTGAGACTTCACCATGTCTGTTAGCAAGCAAATTTTCTGTCACTTCCTAAAAGTTTTATCTGCACACCATGTACCAGAAGTGCATCTCACAGGCTTTATAATGTTCTGATTTTGCAGTTCTGCTTTACAGGAGATTCTTAACTTTCAGGAAGATGAGAATCTCAGCAGAACTTGGTTCAGAACATTTAGGGGAGAAGTTCAACCAGATCAAACACTGAGTTCTGTACATATACAAGGAAGGCTTTACCTGACATGGTTGTTTCTAACAGTAAGGAAATGGCATTGATGATGCTGAAAGTCCTTTCTACTTCCTGTGGTTTACTTTCCTCTGTTCAATCTCCTTTTCAAGTTTTGCTGCACAGAAAAAATACTAAAAAAAAATCAGCTGAGGGTAAGCAAGTATCTCTGGATGGCAAAACATTGAAACAGATTTCCTAAAGTAATTGTGGAATCTCTATATTTTGAGGATTTAAAATTAAGTTGGGGGTATCTTTAATTCAAGACAGTTTAGGAATTGATGATCTGTCTTGAGACAGGCAAATGGAATAGACCACAGGGCCCCTCTCAGCCCAATTTTCCATGATTCTGTAATCTCCAAAGTAAATCTCCAGCTGCTAAACTATAGTAAAAGTGAGAGTTTAACACAAGAATAGTAGAGTCTAAATGAAGTCTTTTGAACTAGGACTCGGATAAAAACCTCAGGTGAAAAACTAGCCAGCATTAACAATAACTGTTTCAAATCCTGGTCTGGCCCATATGCCAAAGATGGTACTAACTCATATCTCTATTTTAATTGAACATCTTAATGAAAGAAACCCAACATTTTAAAAATTGAAGCAAAGGATTACAGGGAAGAAAAATAGGACTGACCTTGTGAAAACAGCTAACACAGCACAAAGAGTTTCCTCCTGCAGCATATTCACACTGAATTTTGTTAAGTACCAGTTCAGTGACTCAGGTTTGGAAACACCAAATTCCTTGTGTAACTTGTCTTTGTTGTGTACAAGGATTTGGCTGCAGCCTTCATTCCCTGCTCTCCCTTTTCTCACATGACCACTGGAACTGATGTGGACCAGCACTGGGGAGCACATCTGCTTCTCTTCAGGTTGCACACCAGTACAGAAGATGAACTTGCCTGGAATATTTTCTGAAGTGGGAGTTTCCAGCATGGAGAAAGTAGTTACCTTGATCTTCTGCTTGGCTAAACCTTGTGGCCAAACTACATTTGCAGATGGCAGCTGTCCCCAGGAACACCAGCTGGGAAAGTCCAAAAGCATTTCTTTGTCACCTGGGAGAGCATCATTACCTATGCCCACTAACCAACCAAGTCCCCCCAAAAAAGAAATGAGATGCTAAGTGTTATTAGTGTATCCCAGATGGGAAATGGCAAGATGAAATGCTCATCTCTGCTGCAGACAGATTTGTCTGTCATTTCCTGAGCAGTAAAACACAAACCAGCCTTTGTTTAAGCTGCTTTGTCTCATTTTGAATTTGTGCCCAAACATCACTCTTTTCTGTGAGAAGAATACCCTAAAATAAAAGAGCTGTTAGCTTTATGACTGACAACAAGAAAGGAGGAAACTTGGTTAGCTGAAGGTGTTGTGTTCTAATGACAAGCCCCAGGAGAATGTGGCAGAACAGAACTGAGCACAGAATTGAAGCTGGCAAGATTCAATCTGTTTTCTCCTTTTTTTGGGTGCTTAACCCAGTCGTGGATGCTGCAGCTTAACCTTCAACTGCAGCAAGACAAGCAGGAGCTGAGTTGTGACTCTGAAGCAGCCACCACAGAGCTCTCCCTTCCACAGCCACTTCCTAAAGGCACCTTGGAATGAAGGGTCTGCAGCAGCAGCAACAGAGGGATGAGGATTTCTCCATCTGAGGTGGAACAAGCTGCTGTTTGTTCAACCAGGAAGGGTTGGAAAGGGAGCTAGGACAGATCCCTGAGGTATTGGGAGCTGCTAAGCACTACCTTCTCACAGAAGCCACCACAAGGATGTGCCCATGTGGAACAGCTTTAGGGGAAGCCCAATCTGCAGAGTTCCTGCTGCTGCTGCCCATGGTGTGGCATGCATGATTACAGACACACTGATTTAATTGGAAATGGGTTGGGAAATCATCAAGATTATTCAAGATCATCAGGTCCAGCAGTTAAGGCCCACTAAATACAATGCACACCAGTGCTACTGTGAATTATCTGCACAGCAACAGAAAACAGAAAAGGTGGCAGCCTGACTGAAAATGGTTTTTTTTACTGTATCCCTTTTGGATTTCTTCATTTCCATTCTGTGAGATGTCCTCCTGACTTGCTACTCTTGATACCAGAGGTGAAAAAAGCAAACACAATCAGTTGCACAGATGAGAGGCAGGTTCACACACGTGCCTGTCTACAAAGAACCAGCATGGATAACTCAGCCCTGCCCCTGGTTCCTGTGGTGGGAGCAAGGCTTTACTTATTGAAAGGCCAGCTGTAGGAATAAGGAGCCAAGTCCAAGTCAGGGCTTGTCTCCTAACACTTACAGAAAATATGTGAAGGGAGCAGGAAGACAAGGGCTTTCCTAACTAAACATACTGTTACTTCTGAGATTGGTTGCTCTGGTCAGCAAGTCCCTTTGAAACTTGTCCTTTTAGCCTGGCCATCCTCTGAGCAGTTTTGGTTTGCTTGGTCTCCTGGGAGGCTGTAGAAAAGAGGGATACACCAGCTGGAGCAGCTGCTGCTGTGGCACAGTCAGAGCATGCCAGGCTGGGACAAGGCTTCTGAGAACCCTGTGGGTTTGTGGGACACTTCTTTGGAGCAGAGGGTCAGTTACCCCATTTTTTTGCAGGATTAATCTAAGCACTGCATCAGACACAGATCATCCATGTCTGCAGCTTTGTCAGGAGGGTGTGCTAACAGTGAGCTCGAGAGATTTGGGATGATTAGGGCTGCTGATAAAGAAAACATCCACTACATGCCCTGCATCTCCTTACAGAGTATTAATATGCTGCTCTGAAACAAAGCTCTCAAATGGACCTCAGTGCTTGTTTTGGCTGATGCTCATAAACTGATTCAAGACTAGTTACTTCAAAGACACAGACAGTAACACAGACATTAAAAGTAATGCTGTTGAGCCAAGGCCTTTTGCTGCTTTGTTTTTCTAATTTTATGAATTCTCCAGCCAGTCTGCTGAGCTATTTTCCAATTCCTGCATGGTGAAAGCTGCTGCTGCTGCTTCAGGCTTTTTCCAGAGAAAACTACTAAAGGGAATGAGGTGCTGTGCTGCCTGTGGTGCTCACAGCTACCACTGTTCCAGCTTCTTAAGGAAGAAATCCCCACAAGAACCAGTCCAGGAAGGGCCAGCTGCTCTGCAAAACCTGCCTGGGGTTTATCTTTTCAAGTTAAAGACTGTGACTTAAAATTCCTATTCATATGAAGCCTCACCATCTGTCAATGTACATGCTAATGTGAGGATGGATATTCCTCCAGGAATTTCAGATCTTTCCAGCTCCCTGGAATGGGCTGTTTTCCTGATGAGCCACATCTACTTTTTATTTCAGGAAACACTTCATCTGACCTCTTATCAGCTAGGGCAGGACCACTAATCCAAGAGCTATGAATTTTCTCCTGCTGTGCCTGTCATCTCAAACTAGGGAAGACACATCCATGGAACTACTGCTATGCATAAAGTAAAGCACATGATCATATATTTTGTCA